AATAACTGTTTTATAGTTTTGTGAACATGCTTCATATTGCTCTAGCTTTCTTCTTCCTCTCGGTTCTGGCTGCATCATTTCTGCTACCAGAAGCGGTTGTTTCTATCTTGAGGATAACACCCGTTTAAGCTGCCTCTGAGACAGTGGTATAAGTAGAACACAAAAAAACAAGAAACAAAAGGATGGGAATTAGAACAGGTTTAAAATAGCCAATAACCTATGTTTTAAGTGTGCCTGGATCGGCTCAATCCCAATCCTGTGGATCAGATCAGGACATCCCTGCTTTGGTCACTTATTCGATGACACTGGTCTGGTGGTGCCTAGCCATCACTGATTTACAGCACTATGGCTCCAAAACACCTCACAGAGATCCTCTAAGTTGATATCAACGACACCTTTCTCCAGGAATCTTGTTTCAGTACGGCTGGTTATGTTTTTATTGGCATACCTGAACACTGTTTGTTTAGAAATGTGGTCAAATTGCCCATCTCTAATGTTTTAAGGCAAACCGATGCACTTATTCAAGCCTGAGAAACATTCATATTGTTATTTGTTCAGTATCGGTCACGTTAGTACTGACCCTTGAGCTGAGCGTCTTGAAGATGCCCTCATACACGCTGCCATTCTTCACACGGACGTCACACGTGGAACCCTTCACAGAGAGAGAGAGAGAGAGAGAGAGAGAGAGAGAGAGAGAGAGAGAGAGAGAGAGAGAGAGATATTTGGGTAAAGGTTTGGACAAAAGCCTCCATGAGTGTTAATGTGGCGGCACAGTTCATGCTTACTCACCACGACAGCCGTAAGGAAGTGGGTCATGCGGGCGTTGTTGTAGACCCCCTCAAATCCCTGCTGAGCAGAGGGAAAGCCAACAAGGTTAGGGATGCATGATACCACTGATTTTCCACTCAATCTGTTACTGAATAACACCAAGGCTACTATCCTGATGCCAAAACCAATAAACCTCCTACTTTTCGCTTTTTTGGCATACAACACAAATTTAATTTCATTAAAAAAATAAAAATAAAAAACACACCTTTCAGACATTTTCAACTAATTTTTTAATGATCGATTATCTAGAAGAAAAGCCAAGATCTGTCTATCCCTAATAAAAAGGGTTGGGAGCCAAGCTGGAATGCCTGGACCCAAATCCAGTGTTCAGATTATTACTCCCACTCAACGTCAAAACAATTTCCAATAGACAACTTTTAACTACAGCACCACAGAGCTGGAAATATGATTTTATTTTCAATTATGTTTCTGACTTTCGATGATTATGAAAACAAGATAATAAAAGATATTATGACTATTGTGCCATTTTTTGTTTCACACTGATGCTCTTGTTTTGTCTTGTGTTCAATTGAGCGCACCCCTTTCCTTCCGCCCCTCCCTAAATGCCCAAACTCTGCCAGGCTGTGGCATGTTTAGTTCAGCTCGAGCCAAGATAACAGAATAAGAGAGTCTTTAGTCAACAAAAAAGGCGAAACCAATTCAGCTGTTTGGAAACACTTTGATTTCAAGGAGTCCAATGAGGAACAACAACAAATACTGTGCAAGATTCACAGTGGTGTCTTCACCACAAGGCAATACGGATAGTAAATAAAATGTCTATATTTATGTTGTAGACATTGGGACCCCTGGTTCCCATTATCACCACTGTAAAGAAATCTGAGTACGTTTCTCTACAAATTAACCATTTCACACCAAACCAGTCTGACTGACTTTGTTTACACCGTAACGACTGAATTATCCTAAAATTCTGAAAAAATACTGGAATTCTCCTTTAATATTCTGCCGCAAAATCACTGTATTTGTTGGTGTGTTTATCTTTTTTAGTGGAGTACTTATGCGTAATAACGTTTATAGTTTTGTGAACGTTTCGTATCGCTCTAACACCTCTCGGTTTTGTCTGCACCATTTCTGATACCAGAAGCGGTCCAGCCAGTTGCGAGTGAAAACGTGGAGTGAGTGTATTTTGTTAAAAAAAATTTTTTGTTTGTTTGTCTTAAGTTCAATAAATGCATGATGTTTCCAAAGTCAACAAGTAAGTGTGTTCAATAATCACAATCCCAGTACTGACCAAAATAATCATGCTTATGATTTCTGCCATAATCGAGGTCCAAAGCACAGAAATGATGTGGGATTAGCTCTTCTTCAGCGTTACCTATGTTAATGTTAGTACTGAAAAAATAAATTTACAGTGCAGTTTATATCAGTGTGTGGCAGGACCTACCGGAGAGGAGTGGAGAGGAGACTTCACAGAACGGTTCCTGTCAAAGAAGTAGAGGTTTGTCAGAAAGTCACTTCGTTTAATCTAACAGGACTTAAAACAGTTAATAACCGATGAGTCTGTTAACAAAATTATCCCACTTTTATCCCGAATGCTACGAAACCAGAGATTAACCCGCAGTAGTTAATCAACTCTCGTTGATAAAAACATCAGTTAAGTATCATTTTAAAAGATACTCTAGCTAGCTAAGCTACGTGCTCCCTTAACGGCTGCTGGAATGTTTTGAAAATTCGCACAAAAACAACTCTGGAGCAGCAGCGCTGTCAATGTTTATTAACAAACTAACTATGCTAAACAGTAAACAACCGATAAACAAACATATTACATACATAAACATAAGCAAACAAGCGGATAACGCCCCCTCTTCCAAGCGCGGCGAGGTTCACCATTGGCAGCAAGGACACTACTCGCCTACACGGATTGGTCGAGCGCTGCGTCAATCAAACACAACGCGTTCCTATTTGATGTTAGTCGTGTTCTAACAGCAGCCCCGCCCACTCCGCGGTGCACCGGTAGGCCTCTCCGGCGCGGGTGAATCCGCGGACTATCCTGATAGGGCTACCGCGCCCCCAAACACTCACCTGCCGGCTGGCGGCCTGCTTGCGGAGCCAGGCGTGGAGGGGCCGGGAGCGCCGTTAGCAGGTCTTCGGCCACCGGGGCCGCCGGGGCCGCTTTGCGCCTTCAGCATGGGCGAGCCGGGGAGGGGAAAGATCCACACAGGCGGAGCGGAGAGACGAGTCCGAGCGGCCACGGTGCGGTGCAGAGCCGAACTCACAACTGCTGGAGAGAAAACAGCTTCATCACTAACGTTACAGTCAGATAAACACTGACTAACATCATCTGAATTTCCTGCACAGAATGTGTCTTTAGGAGCGGACTGGGGATCGACGGTGGATGAGACGAAGCTGGTCTGCTTCTTGTTCGAATTTCCCCGTTCCACCTTAAATGGTGCATCAGTTACTATCCGCGACACTTAAGGTGGAACGGGAAAATTCCAATAAGAAGCTGACCAGCTTCGTCCCATCCACCCGGACCTCACAAACTCATCTCCGATTAATCTGGATTAAAGCGCCGACCATTTCCCACACTTCCTCCGCGCCTCTATTCCAGTGTTTCTGTACAGAATCCAGCTGACATTGACACCTGTCTGCTATCCGCATGCAGAAAAAGGTAAACCACGTTAAAGCGGCCGTTTCCCAGCACGGTTCCCGCCTCGTTAGCCTCTTACCCCGCTACCCGACTCCACACTCGGCTGCAGCGTTAGCATGCTAAGCTAAACTGTCCACAGCGCGCAGTTTTACCCGCTTAAATGTTTAATACTAATCGCTAATGAACGCCTCCACCTCTGCAACAGCCTTACCGTGTCTGTACCGAGTTTAGCTCCTTTCTCCTGCAGCTTTTAGGACGAAAGACTACGACAAAACAAGAATAAAAACCAAACCCGGTCCGCCGGTAGGACCCGAGACTGGCAATGATGTCCGATTCGTGGACGAATCGGTTCTCTTGAAACAGTTCGTGTGAAGGGCTCCTTTGAATAAATCTGTCGAACCGATTCACTGAACTCGAACGTGATCGAACATAATCGTAATATTCATCGCGTCTACGCAACGATTACGTCAGTGTTAAAGGAGGAGTCCACTGATTTTTCAAAATTTCTGTATAATGCGGTCTCTGTGATTCAAACAAAGTCATTCAGAATGGTTTGATGTGGGACGGTTCATTCTAGAGAACCTCAGATGTCTTTAAAGTAGCAGCAAATGGAACCAGGAGTCGCCATGTCTACAAAGCAAAGATTGCCTTTTTATTTACTATTCAGAACCACCAGTGAACCTGCACGTGTCTTCTGAATTTTTATGTGACGTTGATGGTGGTAAAATAGTGGTATATCTGGAAAAATCTTTTTCTTTGGGGACTCTTTTGCCTCACAGCTCACTACGTGTACAGCTCCACCATGAACAGCTTTTAAAAATATACATTTTAGGCCAAATCTGTGTCTCAAAACTTTAGCAAAACAATGTCTCTGACATCAGGCAGTCTTTTCATAACCATAAAATGTAGTGACTTTCTGTGAGGGAGGTTTTAGAGGCATTAAACTCTTCAGACGTCTGGTTCCTATCACCACCACTGTGAACAATTCTGACTCGCCAAGTTTCTCTACAATGAAGCCTTTCACACTAAACCACTCTAAGTGACTTTGTTCACATCTTAACCATTTAATTATGTGGAAGTTTTGAAAAAAATGGTGCATTTCCCCTTTAACACTTGCTCTTTTTCACTCCCTGCTCCTTCTATATTTATTTTCTGTGTATAATTTTAGTTACAAGTTTAGTAGTGTATATATTTTAGTTCATTTTTAGTCAAGTCTCTCTTAGTTATTTCTTAGTTAACATGTCTCATTTTCTTTCAAAAAATGTAGTTCTCCAGTGTGGGTAGTATGTTACATGCCCCACTTGTTCACTCACCCAAAAATTACAAACCTTTTTTGTGTTCGATTCATTGAAACGAACGATTCGAAAGAGTCGGTTCGGTCAACTGAATCCTATTTCCCATCACTACTCGCTAAGGAAGGTTCATTATTATTATCCCGGATCAACACTACTGTTTTATTGATTAGAAACTAATGATTAATCACTGATATTACTGTTTTTATATGTCGCTTTTAATAATCGAGGTAAATCTCTTAAGACCTTTGTTGTCGTACGTGGTGTTTTATGTGCGCCTCTACGGCCGTTATTACGGTCATTGGTTTGTAGTAATGGCGGCGCCCTGCTTGCTTGGAAAAGAAGAGTGACAAGAAAATAACTGTAAAACATAAAATCAGAAGACAGTTTTCAGCTAAAGTTCATGTAAATACACTGAAACGGCCCTGCGGGACGGTTGGAGAGTGATAACACGCCTGGATGAGCTGGTAAATTTGATCTTTTGCTGGGTTTACTGTGCTGGAAAGTGCGATTGAAGTGGGACTGAGCACTCTGATCTGAGATCAGCGCTCAGTGGGTCACGTGGTTCCGTTTTAACGCAGTGTAAACGGTGGAATCAGATCTCAGATCAGGCTTTCTTACTCGGATTGCGTCTGATACATGCGGGTCAGATTTTGACCTCCCAAAACGTGTAACAACAATGTAATAATGTTATAGTTACGCTTACAACACTGAGATTTGTGATTCTGTCTTCTGTCTGTTAGATAAGACTTCAGTAGTGCTGTATAATAGCAGTAATTACGCTTGTGTATAATAGTCATGTGATACTGTTCTATAATAATCTTTAATTAATTCATTCATTATAGATAGATAGATAGATAGAACTTTATTGATCCCGAGGGGAAATTGCAGTATTTCAGTAGCAACACATATAATTGCACATAAACTTATATATACTAAACAGAAAAATAGAAATAAATTTAGACACAAGTACAAGAGAAATAAAATAAAAGTATATCTATTTCCATATTTACATGGCATATGAGACAGATTTGTTGTATTTACTTCTGTCAGAATTGTTCACAGTGGTGGTGATAGGAACCAGACGTCCACCTCTAAAAGCTCCCTCAAAAAAAAAAACGGTTATGAATTCACTGCCTGATGTCTGAGACATTGTTTTATGATGGTTTGTGATAAAGTTTTGGCCTAAAGCATATTCAAATCAATTTATTTGAATCTGTTTATAGTGGAGGGTTAATAAAGGGTGTTATAAGGCAAAATAGTCACCAGAGCAAACTCTTCTCAGATTTTCCACTATTTTGCCATCTTCAGCATTCAATATAAAAACTTGCGTGTGTAGGTTCACTGGTCATTTTTAATAGTAAATAAAATGGCTATATATGTGTTGTAGTCATGGTGACCCCTGGTTCCTATCACCACCACTGTAAAGAAATCTGAGTCTGTCAGTTTCTCTAGAAATTAACCATTTCAGATCAAACCACTGTAAATGACTTCGTTTCCATCTCAAACATTTAATTAGACAGACATTTTGAACAAGCCGTGTTTGAGATGGAAACGAAGTCATCTTAAACACTGAATTAGACAGACAAGCAGTGGAGTTTCTCTTTAAGTTACTGAACCATTTAAGGTGGATATAAAGTAAAGATAGAAGTTAAGATTTAAAATTGTTGTTTTCATTCAATACCCATCATGCATTTCATTAACTGCTAGACTAGCCATGTTCTATAGGCTAAGAAATGCAACCAACTTAAATCCTAGAATTAATGTATAACTGCTAATTCACCCTTTAACCCTGAAGGTTGGCGCAGACTGCTGGTCACCATAGCAACGCAGACAACAATCTCACCTAGCTAGTAGCTAACGAAACGGCAAAGAGAGAGATTTAAGATGAACATCGATAATTTAGAGATGAATGGACGTTTATAATCACTCCAGCTGGTTTCCTGATACGTTTAATCTGCAACGAGAAACTGACAAACACTAAAAAGTCAAGAAGCTGAAGTCAGTTTCTCATTCGGCAGCTTCTTGTTCAAATTCTCCCGTTCTACCTTTAATGGTGCAACGGTTAGCTACATAGTTAGCTACATTCTGATGCTTCATGCACCATTTAAGGTGGAACGGGAAAATTCGAACAAGAAGCTGGCGAATGAGAAGCGACTTCAGCCTCGTAAAAAGTCGAACGTTGAGAGAAACTGTTCTACTTTTGTGGAAAAGTTTCCTGCTGGAGATGCGAGAAAAGCAACTATAGCTGAGCTAAAGCTTAAAGCAGAGCAAAGTGAGTCTGCACTTTCATTTGTTTTTATTTTTAGCCAGTACTAATATATTAGCAAGTACTGAGACGTATTTGCATCCTAGATGGTGAAACGTTACTTCAGTAAAATGGACATAAAATATTGTGGCTCCCAAAGTGGTTTATTTTGTTTAAACTTGACAAAATGGCTCTTCTTATCATTTGGGGTGCCGACCCATTCTAGAGACTACTGCAGCACCACTATGGGGCACGAGTAAGCGTCAGACATAGTAATGGTTACATTTTTAATTTTGGCCATTTTTAATTTTGGCCACTTTTAATGTTTCTACTGGCTGTCAATGATCAGGTTGCATGACTAAAATTAAATTCTTTCTTTCTTTCTTTCTTTAGTTTTCCACCTTTCTGTATTATGACACTTAAATAATAGCAAGCTTCATATGTCACTGCTACGGAGACTGCTCGTCCAGCATCATTTCCTGTCCAATTGCTCTGCTCGAGCTGCTAGTAGTGTCGCCCGCCAAAAATATGACGTTATTGTCGTGGGTGGTGGACATGCCGGCACAGAGGCAGCTGCCGCTGCAACCAGAACTGGGGCCGAAACGCTGCTCATCACACAGAAAATCGAAACGATTGGTAAGTCAAAGGCCAGTCATATCAACCTATGCCAGCCCAGCCATGTTCTATAGGCTACAGTAAGTTATTTGGCAGCCCGAACCCAAAAATCCATTCCAAAGCAGGTATAGTTTACCTATTTCTAGGTGTAGATGTACTTCAACCCATTATATTCCTCTCTTTGTATTTCTCTTATAGGGGCTCTCTCATGCAACCCATCATTGGGAGGAGTTGGGAAAGGTCAACTAGTAAAGGAGGTGGATGCTCTAGATGGACTGATGGGACGGGCTGGGGACTACGCTGGGGTTCACTTCTCCATCCTCAACCGTAGAAAGGGACCTGCTGTGTGGGGCCCCAGGGCACAGCTTGACCGTGGCCGCTACAAAGAATTCATACAGGTAGCTCACGTTTGCGTTAGGCATACTGGAAATGCAGGTACTGCATAAACCTTTTCTTTGTTATACTGAAAAATGTCTGTTGGTGTGCCTCAGGGGTCTACTCTAGGGCCTGCTTTTATTAGAGGTGGGCCAGTCAGTGTTTTTGGGGCTGATGCCGATCACCGATCGCCTTTCAGCATGATCAGATGATAGTCAATCGAGGGCGGGGCTGGACTGTTAAGGCCTATTCCCTGAATTAACTACAGTTAAATACAGTCGCTGTAACATACGTACCATGATTCGTAGCCTTTCAGCTCTTTGCCTGTAACATTTGCTTGTCATATACACTTTTATGCTCTGCTACAAGAGTTCTGCTGCCATCCTGACGCACATTTGTTTGGGCTGCAACCATGACAGTGGAGCTATGATTTTACTGCATTCATACAACACAGAAAATAGAGCAGGCTTAGGAACTTAGACAGCGTCAATTTGGGACTCGGTGTGAAAGATGGCATAAATATACGTGTTCATTTTCAAAACTTGACGTACGTTTTTTCGTCTATAAAAATAAGCCTTTAGTCCTGTAGTCAAAAGTCAAAAGGTCTGTATTTTCCATCTAGCGTTTGAACGAGGGTCCTGTGACCAAGGGGCTTCACAAAAGGCTGCAGCAATCCTTAAATATGGCCCATATTGTTACGTCACTGATCAGCTCTCAGGAATGGCTAACTTAGAGAAGTATCGGCCGATCCCATATTTGGGTTAAAAATCCGATACCGATACATAGCCGATCGATCATTCCATCTCCATTTTTTTAAGTTGTTTTTTCCTTCTGTTCCTTTCTTAGTCGGAGTTGTTGAACATGCCCAGACTGACTGTCATTGAGGGATCTGTGGAAGGTCTGTTAGTGTCCACCGCTGACCCAGAACGGCCAGGAAAACACAGAGTGACTGGAGTTCGCCTAGGTGAGGAATGACCCCTCAATTCTGGGTGCATATTCAGCACATAAATACAGACATTTATGCCCCTCCTTTTTGTGTCTTTCTCTTAGCTGATGGAAGCAATGAAATCCTCTCCAGTTCTGTCGTTCTCACTACCGGCACATTCCTCTCCGGCTCCCTCTTCATGGGCAAGACCACTTCTCCAGGGGGGAGGATGGGCGAACCTCCCTCTTGCGCCGGACTGACCCACAGTCTGAGAGAGATACTCGGATTAAAGCTCGGCCGCCTGAAGACCGGGACGCCCCCTCGGATCGTCAAAGAGACGGTCGACTTCTCCCTTGCACAACTTCACCTGCCCGACTCACGACCAACTCCGTTTAGCTTCATCAACACGCACACACACTGCAAGGTAAACATCATACATTCAGACAAGTGTAATAGGAGGAGTTGGGACAGATTTATTCTTTAAAATTGCTGATCGATCTTTGTTAGAATGTCCCGATAGATGATACTGTTAATATTTAATAAAAAGAGGCACTCAGCGTTCCAGTTTACAGTCTGGTGCATGTATTGATCATGTACTTGTGCTTGGTATCCACATCTGGAAGAGTAAAATTAGCTTAAGTTCATATTTCAACAATTAGTATCAGTCAGTCAGTCAGTGACTCAGTAAGAGACATTGACTCCTGTAGGCTGGTCTGCTGGGCAGTCCAATTGAAAAATCCATGGTTGATAGGACTAATTTGGTCCTTTTAACAATTAGCATTTTATAACATGGCCACATGGTGACGCTGAATAGTGTCCTGCCACACTCACTGATGGTCAAACATGTTGAGCTTAAATGTCTTTGAAAGAAACACTGTCCACTTGGCAAAGAACCTTCCTTTGCACTGAATCTCACAATTGCATATGTCCATTCACTCCAGCTCAGATTCTTATGTTCATACTTGGTGTTTTTACAGCTTCCATTATTTTCATTACTTGCAGTTTTTCAAAGATATTTTTCCACACATTCAAAGTTTAGTCTTAGAAGTTGGTTGCATTTTTTGTTCCTCACAATCTAAGTAATCCCAAATTTCACAAAGTTAGATTCATGAAACCTCACTCCATATCTCAGATGTCCAGTTTAGGTGTTCTAGTTCCTTTTCTCAGTGAGGGCTTCTCGACAGCTATACATCCTTTCAGACCCATAGTGCTGAGTTGTCTTCTCGCAGTGGAAGGATGGATGTGGATTTTTTTAGATCTGAAGTAAGAGTGGAGCTTGGTTTTCTCCTCTGTCTCAACGATGAAAGCTTGATGGGGACAATTTTGGTGGACAGTTTTCTAAAGTCCAGTTTTAGAAACTTTGGTTTTTATGTTCTTTTGACTTCCTCCTTCCTCATGCAAGTGGGTTATCATATATTCAGGCCCAATCCCATTCCTTATTTTTACCCCTACCCCTTGTTTTTGAGTGTTCTGAAATGGGACCCTCAAATAAAAAGAGCATCACTTCATTAACAGCTACCAGCGCTGCTCTGTAGGCGACCCTGCCAGTCTGCAGTGACAGCAGAGGAGGGTAAAGTTCAGCTCCTCACTGCTGGGCTTTAGTTACATTTAGAGCATCATATGCCTTCAAAGAGGGGGGGGCAATTATTTATCATCGTTCCACCTTAAATGATGCAGCAGTTCTGACATCTGAGGTGCCAGAATGTAACTGCTGGATCATTTTAAGGTGGAACAGGAAATTTAGCTACTGAGACATCAGCTACTACTAGCAATTGTTCATGCATGTTATGAAGAAGAGAGCCATAATGCATTAAAACGACATTAAACTAAGGTAATACAGTGGTTATCGTAATTTTTTGATGGAAAAAAATCTCACATTTGTGGGTTTCTTTGGTCTCTTGTGCTCCGTCTTGCCGTTTTTTTTTCCTCATAACTCTCTGTTTGGAGTCTCTGAAAAACCTCTGTTTGGAGGGCTATGTAGCCCTAACACTTCGCCCTACCCCTCTATCTCAACAAGTATTGGGATATCCTACCCCTAGACATGAAAGCACAAAACAGAGGGGTAAGGGCTACGTGGTAGGGGCAAGGGGTGAAATGGGATTGGGCCTTAATCTCCTCATATGAATACCTCAGTGGCTGGAAATAAAATAAATGAAGTTAGTGAAAGAAATGGCCCTGTACCTGTAATTAAACAACAAATTTTGATTTTTTTTGATAAACAAAAGTGTTACATTAGATCTTTTGTTTGACAGCCTGAGGAGCAGATCCCCTGTCATCTGACATACACAACCCCTGGGGTCGACAGAGTGGTCAGAGAAAGTCTACACATGAACTCTCACATACAACAGGACACCAAAGGACCCAGGTACTCTGAACACACTCAAAAACCATTGCATAATAAACTATGTACCAGATTTAGGCAGCATAGTTAAACATCCACCTAACTGCATGTCTTTCCTCCTCCACCCCACTCAGGTACTGTCCTTCCATAGAGTCAAGGGTGTTGCGCTTTCCAGGTCGACAGCACCAGGTGTGGCTGGAGCCGGAGGGTTTGAACTCTGACCTCCTGTACCCTCAGGGTTTGTCTATGACCATGCCACCGGAGATGCAGCTCCGCCTCATCCGAGAGATCCCCGCCCTGCAGCGGGCGGATATTCGCACACCAGGTAAGGCAGGATCCCACGGTAGGATGCGTGAACTGGAAGAGTGAGATTTCGGCCTCATCTGATCTTACCTTTTCGGCAGGTTACGGGGTTCAGTACGACTTCGTCTGCCCGACGCAGCTCTTCCCGTGGCTGCAGCTGAAAAGCGTTCAGGGCCTTTTCCTCGCCGGTCAGATTAATGGGACCACAGGCTATGAAGAGGCAGCAGCTCAGGTAAACAAGATGCAGCTAACGATTATCTGTCCCTTTGGCCACCATCATTCAAAGTTCGGTCTGTGCAACAGTGGCACATTGAAACAAAAGAACTTATATCGCCCCCTACACTTCCTGTAACGTATTGCAATCTGTCAGATTGACCACATGCATTGTATGAACATTACAGAGCATTCGTTTTTGTTAGCTTTTGTTTTTATGTAAATAACGTGATGATATTCTCATGACTAATGGACTTTGTTGACAACCCTAAACACGGCACCCCCTAAAGACAGAAGGAGGAACACATTCTGTACTGTAATCGTGACACTGGGCCTAACTATAAACTGCATATGCTAAATGTCAATATTTGCCTTCTAATTTGGTTCAAGTACTGAGTCAGATTTGATTGGTTCAAGCTTTGTCACCTGATCATTTTGATTTTATTTATTAATTGCTATGCTAGTAGGCTGTAGGTGGCCAGCCAAGTTTCCTTAGGTCATATTTTATAATCAGTTATTATCAAACCCATATGAATCCACAAATCTGACATGCCTTTCTATCCTTTCAGGGCCTATGGGCGGGCGTAAACGCCGGTAGGACTGCCCTCTCTCTGCCCCCTCTATCTCTTTCACGCACTGAGAGCTATATCGGCGTTCTAATCGACGACCTGGTGGGGCACGGGGTTACGGAGCCGTACCGCATGTTCACCAGCCGGGCTGAGTTCAGAACATCACTCAGACCAGACAACGCTGACCTTCGCCTTACGCCCAAAGGTATGCTGAAAAGTGGGCAATACTTCACAATGTCACATACTGACAATATCCATATGCTCAGAAAAGCTTATTGTATTGTATTGTGACATAATTTAGCACAGTAACGATATATACTATCGTATTGCCGAAGCCTAGTGAGTACATTACAGTAACTCTATAAATCCATTTTTTAGTTTATCTAGATCCTGGTTTGTTCATGCCCATGAAGAACCACAAACTGTTAGCTTTCCTCGCTAACGAACGCTCCTTTTCAACGAAAGGACTAACAAGCAGAAGCAGAGCCTGACACAGAAAATACCTTCAGAATCTGTCGTCATGACTGACACCATGTTGGTGTCTTAAGGACAAATAATTCATCCCCGCTGCTCAAAGAATCTGTTTCTTCTTCCTTATCCTTCTTTTTCTTGCGTTTTCAGTGTTTAAACAAAAGAAATTGCTCGGAGTCGGCGTGAAGATCCCACTGTGTTATAAATCGCATCCATTTTTTTCATCTGAAAAATTGTACTTGGTGTTACTAGGCCTTCAGACTGTAATGGCCAAAGACATTAATGTGAATCAGCATTAGCTTAGTGCTAACACACTTCTAGAACACTGTAGGAGCGCTAGTAGAGATTATATTATATAGATCTATACACTTCTATGAGTGTTTATGCTTCTATATGCTCCTATAGAGTAGGTGTGGGCAGTGTGTCAATAATAGATCACAATATGCATCATGATATATTTTTTCAGAGGTCTCACAATGTCAACAGTCTTGACCAGCTGTTATTTTCTGCAGTCAGACGGTCTGCAAGTTATATAATACCCGGTTTGTGGGGGGAAAGACATGAATTATTAGCGTTAGCTTAGTGGTTCCCAAACCTTTTGATTGCTATTTTTTCCTTGTTTTTGACAGTTTTGACATATATGGCCTGAACTGAAGGCCTAGCACTACCTGGTACAATTCACCACTGAAAATAAGGGTTAATTAGGAAAAAATGGTGTAAAAGTTCAAGATTTGGGACTGGTGCTAGCATACATGCTAATAGCAACAGAGTTAACTACCTAGCTAGCTCACATTCCCTTAGCGCACTTATGCTAATTATTAAAATACCCATTAACACATAAACATAGCAGTCTAGTGATTATGTAATAGTGCTTGGAGAAAGTTTTACAGGACAAAATGAACTACATTGTGTTTGGAAAAGTCTTTTTACTTGTAATGTTAGTTTCAGCTGCAGGTGTTGGCAATATAGAGGAGAATTTGCAGCTAAACATTATTCAGAGTGGATCTCTGAAGGTGTTACTGCACTGTTTTGTTGTTTGTGTAAGATCCATAAAATCACAATTAATATATTTTCTGCTTTCATTGTTTCTATTTTTATATGAACGCTCCTTAAATTACACTCATTTAGAACTGAATTGATCTGTTTAACCTGGTTTCTCTCAGGTTTCGAGGAGATTGGCTGTGTGTCCTCACACCGTTACCTGGAGGCTGTCCGAGTGAGGCAGGGCCTGAGCGAGGCTCTCTCTGCCCTGCAGTCCGTCACGCTGTCGCCCTCTCGCTGGAGAGAGAAACTGAGGGACATCTGCATCAGTGAGACCAAGAGCACTCTGATCAGGTCAGTAAATCAGTGAAATTTGAGATTTCATGATGCACTAAATGGTCTCCTAATGAACCATCCATCCATACATCATCTAAACCGCTTATCCTTCTGGGTCACGGTGGGGTGCTGGAGCCTATCCCAGCTGCCATTGGGCGGAAGGCAGGATACACCCTGGACAGGTCGCCAGTCCATCGCAGGGCAGACAGACAGACATACACAGTCACACACACTCACACCTAGGGGCAATTTAGCATGTCCAATTGGCCTGACTGCATGTTTTTGGACTGTGGGAGGAAACCGGAGTACCCAGAGGAAACCCACGCAGACACGGGGAGAACATGCAAACTCCACACAGAAATGACCCTAATGAACCATAATCAACAAATTGCTGTCAAGTCAGGAAAATCCTGATTAAAACCAAATTAGCATCTTCAATAAATCACTTTTTCACACACAGATTTGATACTTTGAATAAATGTCTTGAATGAGTTGCTCAGTTTAAGAAAACCCAACACGTTGTACTCTGTCTAATGTTCTGTCTTTTGTTTTCCAAGTGGAGAAGAGATGCTGCAGTATAAAGACGTCTCCTTCAATATGGTGGCCTCCGCTTTTCCCGAGATCCTTTCACCGCACGTGGAATTTTCTGAGAGGATAAAAATTGAAGGTAAATGTTTTTCGCCAACCAGTAGAAGCTTTTCTCTTCCCACTCTAACAGAGATGATTCAAACCTCTCCCTGAATATCTTGGACCTGAATTTGTTGAGTTAGCGCAGGACTGCAAACGATAACCACTTCGGTAAAGTAGATGTGGGAAATGTGTCAGTTATATATTATGATACGCATCATAACATATTTCTTTCTGAGGTCTTATGATGCCAACAGTGGGACGGACATGAATTATTAGCATTAACATAATGGTTCCCAAACTTTTCATGGTCACGTACCCCTTCAGACATTTAACCCAACGCAAATGTTCACGAACATGCCGCAAATCACATTTAGCACAGTAACGTCACCTGTTTACCTTTAACAGCTCTACAGCTCGAACCAGCAATAGGAATATGCAACCAAAGTGCTAACGGCTAAGCTACAAACTAATACCTGAGTCATTAAAGGAAAGTCTGTCCACTCAACCGCCATCTTGGCTACACCGGCAGGCAGTTATACCACACCAGCCACACAAGATCCGGCGTATAAAACCGAAACCAAAAGCCATTTTAATGTTTCAGATACTTATTTGAAATCACTGATAAAATCTGACCAAAACAGCATAAATAGGTTTTGCATTTGGCTCGAATAACACACAAAGAAACACGATTTTTCAGCCTGTTCTTGTTACTGCGCTTGCACGGATCTCCACAGCGAGGCGGGGGCCACAGCACGGCTTAAACAGCAAGCTGACTGGTTTGAACAGCAGGATTCCTCGTAAACAGATGCCATGTTAAAGCGTTATGAACCTTCCCGTTCATGTTTTAACCACTGACCTGTCTCCTCCTTTATAATGTCTCTGCTAATACTTCACTACAGTCACGAACTAATCCACGTCTGTGAAAACGAAACCAACTCACAAACACGACTAACAAGAAGTATATATGCTTTAACAACAGTTAGTAAACGATACTCACTTCATTCACGGCAATAATAGCGCATGACGAACTAGTTAGTTAATTTCCCCGAGAGCGTGAGGTGCAGAAGGAACCGGAGTGAAATGCCGCCTTCTACAACGCAGCCTTGTATACAAGTATCAATAAATAAACAGCAAAATACCTAGTAGAGTGTTACAAGTATCATACACAGTCATCACTTATGCATATACACCAGAGCCGCTGTCCAGAAATCAGCCACTGACTTTAGATTAGTGTAAATGTTAAATGTCTAATTTTTTTTTGCGTACCCCCAGAGTCATTTGGCGATCCCCTGAGGGTACACCACAGTTTGGGGAACCACTGTTATAGTGTAGTGGATTACACCACTGCCCATCTCAACTGGGGTTCGATCCTCTGTCTGGACAAGCTCATCACAATATATACATCCATGGGCAAGACTCCTAATGCTACATCCACCTCCCTCTCCACATTGTTAGGGCTCATTTGTACTCTCTTTATGTACGAAAATGAATATGTCCATTTCAAACGATGTAACTTTCACTGGCCACATACACCAATCAGGCGTAACGTTATGAGCACCTTGTTTCTATGCTCATTGTCCATTTTATCAGCTCCACTTACTATATAGGTGCACTTTGTAGTTCTACAGTTACAGACTGTAGTCCATCTGTTTCTCTGCATACTTTGTTAGCCCCCTTTTACCCTGTTCTTCAGTGGTCAGGACCCCCATGGACCCTCACAGAGCAGGTACTATTTGGGTGGTGGATCATTCTCAGCACTGCAGTAACCCTGACGTGGTGGTGGTGTGTTAGTTTGTGTTGTGCTGGTCTGAGTGGATCAGACACAGCAGTGCTGCTGGAGGAAAAATATATTGTGATGTAGTTTTTTTATGCTGATATCACATCACCTCTAGTTTAAAATGGCTTTAGTTACTTACCGGAGACATTTGTGTGGCTCTCCTGTAGCTGTGTACCGACCGCACTGTGAAAAACAGCAGAGGGAGATGGAGAGAATGCGAGAGGAGGAGAGTCTGTCTCTGCCCCCAGATATCGACTACTTCTCTCTTCCTGTGTCCCTCTCTGATGAGGTTCGAGAGATACTGGACAAAGCGCGGCCAAGCACGGTGAGTAAACACGCATTTTTAAACGTAGATTAGCTCAGAAAATGTACATTCTTTGCAAGCTCAGTATTTGATGTTCAATAGTAAAATCATTAGATTTAATTCTGGCTTCTTGGACAGATTAAATCCCAAATTCAAACAGCATTCTCTCTGGGAGGTCCTCAAGATCTGACCTCAGATTGGACCGCAAGAGTTAGCGAAACGCTAATGTTTCAGCATCAGGGAAAAAAAGCCAATTGTGTACTTCTGTTTAAAGGCCATTACACACCGAATGCAATGTGAATAAACAACACAAAAACATGGAACATAGGCCGCTACTGCCTTATGGACCGTTATTAACCTCAGAAATACAGGCGATCGTATCACTGCAGTTCACCGCAGAAAGGTGTGTCACTTCATATTTGTCATAGTTGCCAAGACTGAAATTCCAGGATGTGTCAAGAACTGGTGGAGATCCAAACACATAACAATGTGGGAGTCCAGGCTAGATAAAGGACATAATTGATTTGTGGAAAAACTCTTTTACAGCTATCAGAGCACAATAACGTCAGCTAACATCTGCAAGAGTGATAAATTAATGGACAGGTAAAAATTACTATAACCAAACCACTAGATTAGCCATGTTAGCTGGAGATGTTGAAACAGCTCGCTAACAATAAACTAGTTAAAATGAGCGCTGAAGTGCCACTGTAGACGTTTTCTTATTTGCATTTATAAGCACTGAGCTGGTCTCCTGATAAGTTTAATCTGCAACGAGAAACTGTCAAACACTAAAAAGTCGCGAGGCTGAAGTCAGCTTCTTGTTCATATTTTCCCGTTCCACCTTAAATGGTGCAGCAGTTACGTTCTCGTGACTCAGGCACCATTTAAGTTGGAGCCACCGGATCCAGTGACCGAACACCTACTCCTTGCCGAGCACTCGCTCTCTCAGTCGCTGATCATTTTTGAGGGAGAAAATGAAAACTGTTCCTCTGAAAGCGGCTGCAGCAGCAACTTTAAAGCACAAAATGCATTCAGTGTAACGTTAACTTGTCAGTCAGCAGCGGTGAAATGCAGACACAGAGGTTTGTTTACTCCGTATGACAAAGTTTATTCCTTTATAATTTCACAAACTCATTTTTTCTCTGCTCATCCTCAGCTGACAAACCTTTGAAACTGAGATAAGGTTGTTTTTGCTTCAAGCTCTAACAGTTGAGTGATCTGTACACGCTCAACTCGTCATTGTTGCTACTGCAACTGCTTTAGCGGAAGAAGCGTTACCCTACAACGACTACTTCCAGCAGAAAAAAATGCAGAAATGTGGAAAGGGCCTATTCAGACAATTTTTTCGCATCAGAATGCACCGGACATGCCTCATTTTTTTGGGGAAAAAAGCTGAACACAGCATCAATCAAAAGGTCCTTGCCTTAATGGGATAATCTTTGGCACTTTGCAGGACGCTTTTCACAAATGTGAAAAGATTCATTCAGGAGCTGAAACTGTATAAACTCTTTCACTCACAGCTCAGATCTCTAACTCTGTTTGAGTTGATTTTGGAGATGCAGCTCCAAACTAGACGAAGCAAAAAAACAGGACGAAAATAAAAACTATCTTCAAGTGCAAATCGATATCGTTTGTTCCTCACAAAACGGGCAAATGGTGACACTGGACAGGCTACTTTCCATTTTTAGAAAAATGAAAATAGTGTGAAGAGCTTCGTGGCTTCATTCAAAAGCTGACACTTTAACTGCTTCCTCATATAACTCGGATCTTCAGAGTCTTCCTTGAGCTGCTTTCAGAGATTATAATCCTTTTATGAAAAAGTTCCAGTTTCCAGGACACAGGCAGTCCGCCATCACCGTTGTCGCCATGGCAACACCAGAAAGGATCGTTATTGATCAGCGAGTTCGGTTGTGTCTAAAATGTAATACATGCTACCAGCTCATTCATATTTTGAGGCAGGAAGACATCCAGTCATGTCCGAATCACATGTTCATATAAAACGCCGCCTGCTGAGATTCCTCTGTTTTTTGAAGGCGGTGTTGATGTGTCCACTGCTGCCTCACATTTCCCATAATCCTAGGAAAAAATAGCTGAAAACAGCGGCACTGACGCAGTGGAGGAGAGAGACTGGTGTGTGTACAAATACAATGCTTTTTGTTTTGGTTATAAAAAGCTCTGCATGCTTTCTTAAAAGAATTCTGGGTAAAAGATGCTAATGTCTAATGCTAACAGTGAGCTGTCATATCTTGGCAGTGATGCAATGTATCACTGCATTCAAAGCGTGTCTCAAAGACCATGCGGTTGCAGGGACCTTCGTCACAACGCTGTCTTCTAAGGCACTGACTCATGAGACAGCATAGGCAGCAAGGCGTCAAGACAGCTGCCTCCAGTTTTGGACACAGCCTTCATGTCAGCACCCATCCATCTCTGAGCGCAGCTTTTATGTAACTAGGAGCCGCAGCGCCATCTGCAGGACAAATTTAATTTCAGTCTAATTTAATGTCCATATTAGGACTATGAGAAAAAAATGATGTGGTAAAGTTCTGTCTGTTTGTTCCTCAGCTGGGAGCAGCTACGCGACTGCAGGGAGTCACCCCAGCAGCCATTGTCCACCTCCTGAACTACGTGACAAGAACAGGGCGCAGGAGCAGAGCGCAAAGAGAAACAGACCGACGGACAAAGATTCCAGACTGGAAGCATCGACCTCAGACTGACCAGCAAGTGGAATCAAATCAAAATCAAGAGGTGGGCATTGTGCTCCAGAATTAGCTTTTAGAGGCAGCAGCTTCTGAAGACTGTTACTACAATAAAGGAGAGTCTACATGAGTGTATTATGTAAAATTATGTATTTTGCAAAATAAAAATAAGTTATTAAAAAACTGTACATGTTCAGAATGAGGTAGAAAATTAGCCAACAGTGAACAACATTCAGAAGAAGCACATTCCCATAGTTTTGCCACAGCTACTCTCCATCTAGCTCTCCCGCCCCTCCTGTGAAAAAAGCAAAAGGGAATTTCCACTCGGGTTGGGGTTCACCTCTGGGGGCTTCTGGGTAAACTGTGGCGTCAGAGAAAATCACCTCCGTGGTTACGGACAGAGGAGAAGTGACAGGACACTGGGAAGAAAGAGAAGAAAGTCCATTTTTGTGTCAGAAATGACATGAGCAAGTCTATTAGAAGTTACTTAACACAGTTTGAGGTAAATCTGTTATGATTTAGACATACAGTTAGCACAATGCTAACTGGTGGATATAAGCTTCCATAACTTGTTTGCAATATTAGCCTCTTAGTTCCAGTGCAGAATGTAGAGAAACAAACTTCAGACACCAAACGTTTTGGCTGATCATCATTTGGAGTGAAACTGCTTAAATTAGAGTTGCATATTTTGAGTATTTTTGACATTTGAACGTCTGTAAGAGTGAATGATTGCACATCTGGTTGATTTATGGAGAAGAAAAAATAACGGGTTTAACGCTTTAATGCATCATAATACACAAATAGGCGTAATTATCGTAATTATTAGAGCTCAATGCAATTATGTTCCACATTTGTTAGGTTTACAATCATATGCTTGTCACAACAATCACAAGGAGAATTGGGTGCATCAGTTGGATTGGGGAAAATAAAACAAAACAAAGGAGAAAAAGTATTAATGTGTAAATTAACATTGTTAGAAACTGAGACAATCAGCTTTAATTTAGTTGTCGTTTGAAACTGATGTAGAACAAGCGAATTTCTATAGACTATTGTAGTGGCAATCATCGGGGTCCAAGCACTACATGCCATTATGGAGCCAGTAGAACACACAATGGGTTTTTAGAGTGGCCTCGATTTATAAGAGATGTGGGGTCTCAAACGCTTTTTAGCCTTGGTATGATATGCAAGAGTTGTTGAACTAAATGAATTAAAGAATTCAACAATTATCCCTGCATTTTAGTCTATTTTAGTTTAGAATCACTACAATGTTCTTTAAGGAACCATGCCACTAGACTCTGCTACAGGAGATTGGTTTCCAAACTTCTCACCTTTTTGGTTGCTTATGAGTTTTCACATCAATCCTTTCATGTAAATTTTTAGTGCATTTTTTTTTTTGCATAAATAATTGCATTTTTTCAAATAACACATACTGTGAGTGTTTAAATCTGACTTCTAGGCAAAGTATTCTTTAAAGAGGAAGGACTAAGCTTACCTTCAGTATCTGACAGCCGAAGACGTATTTGGCCCCCAGGATGTGGTTTTGCGGCATTGCCAGCAGTCCTCTCTGAGCCCAAAGTACTTGCACTGAGAGGGAGACGGGCAAGAGACAGCCTGTCTCACACACCTCACCCTGCACAGTGCAGCAAAACAAAAGTACACATATACAATAACATATAAAGAAATGTGTTAGCGTTTTTCAACAGCATTACACCCTTTAGGTTGCCAGTACTAACAAGCTGTGTTTTTATATTAATTATTTCTCATTCTGAACTCCTCTGAAATTACGTTGTATTATTGTGGTCATAGTGCAAGTAGAAAAATAAGGCACAAAATCTGGTGCATGTGGATGTGGCAGATATATTTTTAATATATTTTTTCCTCAACAATATTAATTGGTTTTATTTTTAGCCCATTATGGTTATCATTATTTACGTTATGTTTATTATTATTAAACTAGATTTGTTATTCTTTTATTTATATAGCACTTTACAACTGGAACAGCACAAAAAAACGAACTAGTTAAATGTTACTAAAACTGAAAAAATAAAGTAATTAAAAATGGAAAAAAAAAAACAAATGGCCTGTCCAGTGAGGTTTTCACTGTGAACTGATTTTGAGTGGGCTAAACACTGGCCCTCTCTTCTGAGTGAGGTTGTATGTGAAACTGAGGGGGCTCTGTTGTAAAGCTTTAGAGGTGGAGCAGTACTTACTGGAGGGGGCTCGGGACAGTCCTGCAGAATGACCCTGCTCCAGTCTGGCTGTGAACCTGCAGTCATGGCAACCATGTCTGGGGTCGTGGCGCCACACAGAACGCTGTAGAGCTGAGCTCTAAGAGAGCCGCAATCGCGGGATGGAGACCTGAGTCAGGATCACATGGATTAAAGCAAACAGATCTAGATGAGTTCGTTAGTATAATTATTTTCACATTATTTCAATATTTTGACATACTGCTTCCAGAAAAAGAAACAGAGAAGGAGAACAAAAAACAGGTTATTTTACCTCCACTAGCTGCCAGGAAATGGTATCCATAACTCACATACACTGATCAGGCATAACATTATGACCTTGTTTCTACGCTCATTGTCCATTTTATCAGCTCCACTTACTTTGTAGTTTTTAAACACTGTGTCCACTCACTGTCCACTCTATTAGACACTCCTACCTTGTCAGTCCACCTTGTAGATGTAAAGTCAGAGACGATAGCTCATCTACTGCTGCACAGTTTGTGTTGGTCATCCTCTAGTCCTTCATCAGTGGTCACATGACGCTGCCCACAGGACGCTGTTGGCTGGATATTTTTGGTTGGTGGACTATTCTCAGTCCAGCAGTGACACTGAGGTGTTTAAAAACTCCAGCAGCACTGCCGTGTCTGATCCACTCAGACCAGCACAACACACACTAACACACCATCACCACATCAGTGTTACTGCAGGGCTGAGAATGATCCACCACCCAAGTAATACCTGCTCTGTGAGGGTCCATGGGGGTCCTGACCACTGAAGAACAGGGTAAAAGGGGGCTAACAAAGTATGCAGAAAAACAGATGGACTACAGTCTGTAACTGTAGAACTACAAAGTGCACCTATATAGTAAGTGGAGCTGATAAAATGGACAATGAGCGTAGAAACAAGGAGGTGGTCAGAATGTTATGCCTGATCAGTGTAAAGTAGTTAGCATAGTTTGTAGTTCAGACGTTAGTAGGTGTAGATGGTACCTGAAGGTGCAGCCAGTGATGGCGTTGTGGGTGAACAGAATGGGAGCTCGGTTGAACAGGTCTGTAGAACAGTCTCCTCCGACAGACAGTCCCTGGACCGTCAGCTTACACAGAGTTAAAGAGCTTAGACAGTCAACCAGTCACTCGTAATGGATGCTAGTAGCTTCTGACAAGAAGCCCGCTTTAAATAAGGCTGAGTGATATGGTGAAAATGTAGACCTCCAGAGTTTCTTCTGAAATGAAGGGTATTAATAGTGAGTCTGTGCTTCAGTAACAGCCTCTACTCTTCTGGGAAGGCTTTACACTAGATGTTGGCACATTGCTGTGAGGATTTGATTGAACATTAGTGAGGTCAGGTACTGATGTTGGATGTTCAGTTCTGGATCACTCCAACTCATCCCAAAGGTATTGGATGGAGCTGCATCACTCCAGAGAACACAGTTCCACTGCTCCACAGCCCAATGCTCTCCACTGTAGCCCACACTTGGCATTGGGCATGGTGACCCAAGTTCATTCATTAGGGGTGTCTGGATATTTTTTAGACATACCATATAACATCACTTCAAAACACTTTCATGATATAAATCCAATATAAATCATGACATTTAGTAATTCTAGTAAACCTAACAGAAAATGGTAAAAGGATACAGGCTGAGCCTCTTCGCCAAACCAGCCAATCACTGGTGTCCCAACCGTCAAGCCCACCAATGGCGTGCCAGAAGGAGGTGATGACGGCGTGGCCAACTGCAACCCAGTAATTGGATGTTATCAAAGCAATGCAACATCAAATTTACACAGTTATCCACTTACCCCAGAGAACGTCGATCAGCCAAGACCTGTTTGGTGTCCAAACTTAACAACAACAAACACCAATAGTCCAATAGTCCAAAAACCAGTAGTAAATAGCAGACTTGCAGATGTGGTTTAGGGCACAATATGACTTACTGTGAACCATAAAAGAAACAGAATTTCACAGTGCAGTTAAACACTGGGGGCGTCCATTTCAGACAGGTGTTGAGATGAATTCTGACAGGCCCACAGAATCTGACTGCCCTTCACTTCTACACACATCATGCATGTTTTGAATAAACATGCATTCAAGTACAAAGTACAAACAACAAACAACTGCAGAGCAATAAAGTGAGAAAATAAATAAATAAATAGGCAAATAAATAAGGGTCCATTATTAACTACATCACAGTTCTAGTATGAATGAAAATATTCTATATAACTCAGAAAGGGGTGAAAAACAGTAGAAGAAGAAATGGTGAGCATTTAGCGGGGGTCAGATAGCCCTTAAAGTTAGATGTCATTGGATGCGGTCAACGTTCTGGTACAGTAATCAAATTTTACTCTGGGACAGTAAAGTTGGAAAGCTTTTTCACACAGGTAAAAAAGCGTTGCCATATTTTATTAAATCTTAGTGTGGAACATTTTAAAGTCAATCGAACTCGTTCCAGGGTACAATAATGAAGTGTATCTCTGATCCAAAGAGAATGAGATGGGGGGGCAGGCGACTTCCAGTTTAGCACTATAAGGCGTCTGTCCAAAAGGGTCAGAAACGCAACAAAACTGGACTTAAGATTAGAGATTGCTTCTGTAAAGGGAAGAATTCCAACTGCATTGAGTTTGCACTGCACATTCAAAACCTCTGATATCACTGAAAAAAGTTCAGACCAATAACTATAAAGTGATGGACAAGACCAGACTCATATGAATTAGAGAGGCAGGAGCTGAATGGGACCCTCTGTGTTTTTGCTCCAACTCAACTCCCAATGCACAGAGATAGAGAACAAATGTGGACCATCTGGGGGTCCCTGGGGACCACTGCTCAAGATTATGTTCACAGTTTCTATTTGTAAAAATATATATTAAGTTTGAAATTAAATTTGAAGATCAACAGCTATTTATAAAAAGAAACAACAGAAATTGCAAACATAATCTGTGGTGTCCATATGGCGGGAGTCAAAATGTGGCTCAGCGTCTTTTGGCTGTGTTTATCTATTTGGTGAAGTTTCATTCATTTTCATAGCTAATAACAGTTTGCACTGTGCCCTAAATCACATTGGTAAATCTGTGCAACCTTAACCCTTGTTTGGTGTTCAGGTCTGTGGGACCCATTTTCAATGCTTACCAAAAGATAAAAATGATGTGATTTATTATTATTTCAACCTCAGATTCTAGTGTTAACCTCATAGCTCTAGTTTAAAACTTTAGGCCAGAGTACACCGACGGGACAAACACAAATGTTTGATTGTTGAAAGACTGTAGATTGTTCTCTTCCCATTCACTCTAGTTTCTGAATGTTCTAAGGACAACTGCAAACATTAGAACACCTGTTGGTGCACTCTGGCCTTAAAGAAGCTAAATTTGGACATCATGTCTGATCTATTAAAGGAGAAGTTTTCCTATTAGAATGAATGTGTCATATATTAATCAGCTGCTTAGGAGAAGTACCTGAAATTGCACCGTGTGCTGTTGCAGTAGCTGGGTGCCAAAACTTGCGTTAGCCAACTCTGCTCTCAGTGTAGCCGCGGTAATCTCCCCTGCGCCCGTGTATGTGATCACATACTCCACCTGAGACAGACAGCAATATATGCCCACTTAGCACAGGCACTAATATCATGGTCAAAGCTTTATCAACATCTAGATTAAGGCCCAATCCCATTTCTTATTTTTACCCCGACCCCTTGTTTTCATCTTACCCATTGAAGCTGAGTTACAAGGGGTAGTGGTTGAAATCTTCCTCTATGAAATGGGACCCTCAAATAAAAAAGAACATTACTTCATTAACAGCTACCAGCGCTGCTCTGTAGGCGACGCTGCCAGTCTGCAGTGACAGCAGAGGACGGTAAAGTTCAGCTCCTCACTGCTGGGCTTTAGTTACATTTAGGGAATCATATGCCTTCAAAGAGGGGGGCAATTATTTATTATCACCCACCACTAATTCTTCAGTGATATGAAGCTGAAGCCAGATATTCACCAGCTCTTACATTCTGGCACTTCAGGCATCAGAACTGCTGGACTATTTAAGGTGGAACAGGAAATTTAGCATACAGTTAGCGATTTTTTCTGCATGTTATGAAGAAAACGACCATAATACATTGAAACAACATTAAACTAAGATAATACAGTGGTTATCATAATTTTTAATAAAGTTTGTGTGTTTCTTTGGTCTCTTGTTCAGCCATCTTGCCGGTCTTTCTCATAACTCTCTGTTTGGAGTCTCTGAAAAACCTCCGTTTGGAGGGTCATGTAGCTCTAACACTTCGCCCTACCCCTCTATCTCAACAAAAACCGGGACACCCTACCCCTAGACGTGAACTCGCAAAACAGAGGGCTAAGGGCTCAGTGGTAGGGGCGAGGGGTAAAATGAGATTGGGCCTAACTTGCACTGACCTTTGACACCACATTCACACAGAAGCCATTATGTTCACTGGGTTCAAGCTGGCTGGACAACGGGATAACTGGGATCTGAAATTAAAAAAAGAACATACTGTCAGACAGAATGGTAATCAGAAGAATCTAAAACGTACACGTATATATGAATTTTTGTAGTTTACCGTTAGATTTGGCATGTCCACTTTTGAGAGACGTGGAACCTGCAAAAGTTCCAGATATTAGTAAAGGGGCCTTCTGGCTTAAAGTGTTCAAAATGTACATCAACATACTATTTTACAGTGTTATAAAGTATTTTGTAGCACAGCATTATATCTGAATGCTTTATCGGTTTGACAGAATTCATGACTGTAGTTCGTTTTCATTCATCAACGTCCTCTTACTACAATCTCCAGCATGCATCACACAAATGCACAATACAAACACAAGAGCTGTGTTCCAAAGCCTAGGCTGCATTTTTCGGCCGCTACGTCATAGAAGGCTTTTCCAAAGTGAAGCACCCTTCGTATACAGCCTAGAAATGCAGCCTACGTTCTGAGTGATTTCAAGGACGCATCAGATGTTTCCTTCCAGGCCTTCAGTTACCCACAATTCTGTGAGCACGAACGACGCAAAGGAAAAAAAAACAATAAAACAGCATCACAAAAATGGTGGAAAACAGAGCCGTTGGAGGAGAGCTGGTTTTAAAATTGTAAGTTGTTCGATTGCAAGTAAAAAAGTCATAACAAGGAAGTGGCTGTCTCCTGATCCCCCTACGCTGGATGACTGGATAAACCTGGTCAATGAAATATATCTAACGGAAAAAATGACTTTTTCTATTAGACTGAAGATGACAAAACTTGTAAAATTCTGGTTAAAATGGGTTAATTATATAAAGTCTGTAAGACCAGAGTTTGTAGAGATATAATGTGAGTGAGTACTCCCTCCCTTTTTTATTTATTTTTTAATTTTTAATTTTTTCATTTATTTATTTATTTTATTTTATTTTATTTCCCCCCCCTCCTTTTTCTTCTTACCTAACCCCTTTTAATTTTTACCCCAAGGCATCTCCTCAGCTTTTAATGTATATAGTTATTTGTTTACTTTTACAGAATGTCAAAAAGAAGGGAAAAAAAAAGATTTTTTTTTAAAGAATAAAAAAGATGGAGAGATATAGATCACAAGGTGTATGAAAGGATATATATAATTGGAAATTAACATGTGCATAGAATTGTATGTTGTCATTGCATTGCTTTTGAATGTCTCCCCTGGAAAAAATACAATAAAAAAAAAAATAATAATAAAAAATATATAATGTAAGTTGTTCATTTGTCTTCATAACCTTATAAAGTGTAAAATGCTTGATTAAAGCATTCGTCCATGTATCATATTTTAATCAGAAGTATTTGTATATATGTAATTTTACATGAGCTTGTTGGCGTATTAGCTACCACAGCAACAAACACAAAGCAGCGGGCTCCATGTGAGTTCCCTCACAAGTTTCGCGCCACAATTGCAAGAGGCGGGACCTTTCTTGTGACGTCACCACGGAGCCTTGTTAGGACTGCTCCATTTGTGTGACCAACAGGCTACTAAGGAGGAGTCTTCATAGGACAGGCCTACCTCGGACCCGCCCTACCTCGGCTGCAGCCCAGGCTTTGGAACGCAGCTAAAGAATCCCTGTGGTGTCAACCAACCCTGACAGCTAGCCTAGCTGCTGATCTACAGGCTAACAACCAAGCTAACATAACTCCTGCCTCAACCGGTGAACAAAAGCCAGAGAACAGGAGCCAAGCTGAGGTATCTGGAAGCTAAGTAGCTACACTGCTGACTTTAGCTGTAAGCTTGTTGTCCTCTTTATCTGATGAGTCTTTCTGTCGTTTAGATAATGTATTCCCTCCATTGTAATGATTATTTGAAGACAGCTACTGCAGTAATACAGCTTCAATAAAAAACGGATTCCTTGCAAAAACATTAGCTATACAAATAATACTAGCCTTCCTTCTGCATTCACCAGCTAGTAGGAAAAAAGATCACCCCCCAACCTTAAAGACACAGCAGAAGGGGGTCTCAGGACTCCCCCAAACACACAATACCACCGCTGTGAAGCGCCACCGCATCTTTTCGAACTGCTGCTCCCCTCCATATTTTCAAATGTATTACTTGGGTCTGACGAGGACTAGTGCAAAATGGTGTATACCACTGAAAACAGCATTCTTCTGTCACAATCTTTTCTGAAATCTGGTGATTTGAGGTAGATTTACCCAGACCTACCCTGAGGAGGCTGAAGCCAGTGAACGAACGAACGCTCAGCGCGCCATCTCTTCCACAAGACTGAGCGCTCACAGCTCGTGAACAGGACAGAGAGCCAGAACGCAGGAACTCTGAGAAAGAAAGAAACACAATGAAACATGTAAACGCAACTACTTTCCTATGGTTGTCTATGGCTGTCGTTTCCTTCGTGTATGTACTACAATCTCCAGAGCAGCCTTGAGTGCCTCCACTCAATTACCATTTCATGAGCTCCACCAACCTAACAGGCCTCTATATACTTCTGAAGTCATCATTCTGTAGGAACGCCAGATCTAAGGTGGTTTTCTCTGTGACAGAAATGAGTGGAACTTCGGAAATCACTGCTATCGCGCCCCTGTTTGGAGTCATGTGTTTGCATGATCTCAAGGAATTTGACCGAGGAATGCTTATAATGTTAACAATGGAAATAACGTCAAGTCCCACCTCCCTTGGTTATTGTTGCCACGTCCACATGACCAACTGCATGTTTCGTTATAGAGAGAACAAAATTAGTCCCGTTTAACTGGATTTAGTGCAACACAGTATTCCAAATATTGAGTAAAACCATCGCATTCACAGTTTTTGATAGTATTTTTTAAGTGTAGCACTACTGAAGCGCAACTCTAATCATTTTTTATTCCTGTCAAACAGCTGAACAAAATGAAAATTCAGCCATACTTGCAGGATTGCGGTCCACGCAGGAAGAAGATGCCGCCCCTGGCGATGGGTGTCTGAGCACGCTCACTATGGATGTGTTGTTGTAATATGTCAGAATGATGTCGTCCACCTGTTACAAAGAGAAATGGTCAGTGCTAAATATGATGTTCCACCTGGCCAAGTATTTAAAGCATTTTCAATGAAATATAGGGTTTAAGTGATTTGCACATTATTGCATTTTGTTTCTATTTATATTTTTCACAGCGTCCCAACTTTTTTGGAAATAGGGTTGTATTTAGAACCATGAGTTCTATATATAATCCCATACCAAAAAATTGGGAACAGGGTGCAAAATGTAAATAAAAACAGAATGCAATGATGTGCAAATCATTTAAACCATATGTTTAACTGAAAATAGTACAAAGACAACAAATCAAATGTTGAAACTGAAAAAGTTTATTGTTCTTTGAAAAATATATGCTCCTTTTTAAATATGATGCCAACAGCACGGTCCAAAGTTGGGACGGGGACATGTTTACCTCTGTGTTGCATCACACACGAGGAGACACTGATGTAGTTTTGAAAGTGAAATGTTTTCCCATTCTTGTCTGATACATGGATTTCAGCTGCTCAGCAGCTCTTTTGTCATATTTTTCATTCCATAATGCGCCAAATGTTTTTCGGTGGTGACAGATCTGGGCTGCAGGCAGGTCAGTTTAGCACCCGGACTCTTTTACTACGGAGCAATGCTGCTGTAATACATGCAGAATGTGGTTTTACATTGTCTTGCTGAAATAATCAAGACCTTCCCTGAAAAAGACGTCGTCTGGATGGCAGCATATGTTGCTCCAAAACCTGTAAATATCGTTCAGCATTAATGGTGCCTTCACAGATGTGCACGTCACCCATGCCATCACAGATGTTGGCTTTTGAACTGTGCTGATAACAAACCAGATGGTCTTTAGCCCAGGGGACGCAGCGCCTATGAATTTGAAGAATTTCAAATGTTGATTCGTCGGACCACAGAAGGCAGCGGCGTTTCTGGATCCTGTTTCTATACTGAGGTGAGAAAATCTGTTTTTCAGTAAGGGCAATACTTAATTAAAATTCCTGAGGACAAAAAACTATGATGACTCTGCATCAAAAAAATTTTAATTAGCATTCAGCACCGATCACATGGAATGACTCCTATACACACCTACAGAACAGATGATGAGTCAAACGAATGAATATCCCAGACTACTTATTCCGTTACGTCTTAGAACTCTGTTCAGTAGTTTTATTTTACAGTAGACCAAGCGGCGCACCTTGTAGAAGCTTGAGTTGCGGCTGCGGTAGGGGGTGGGCTCCCGTATTGAGAAATGAGGAGAGAAGATGGAGAACGGCCCCTCAGAGAGGGCAGGCAGGGTCTGCGCTACTACGTCCATCTCTAAATGTAAAAAAGAAAAAAGTGAACGTTTACTTTCGTGCACATCAGCACACATTTGCACAAGACTGTCCTGAAAAACATCCTGAAAAAACATCTCCAAAAACTTTACAGGAGAACGCAATAAATTCTTTACTTTCAATGTAAAAAGATTTTATTCCAAGCAATTTTGGATCATTTCTATTGGTCCAATCATTATGAAATTTTCTTTGACCATTTTCCATTTTTAAACTTCTCCTCATCCACAAGGATTGAACAGGCTGTTTATGTTACAAGTGATTATGCATTAAAATGTGCAGAACTGAGTTCTCTGTAGATGATGTGCTTATTTTTCCCTTTGAAAACATGTAATCTGACCAGGGGCGCCCAGTCTTTTGTATGAGGATCTGATAAAGGCTAAAAGGGAACCAGTGCACTGAAGGATCTGTGCTGAAAGGAACCTTACCGTTCCCTTTCCGAACGCAGAAGAGCGAGTCAGTCACTGTCACCAGCTGGGGGTCCACGTTGGCTCGGAACATCAGCCAGCTCTCAACACACACTCCAGGCCTCAAATCAAGTGAGACACTTCAATATTCACAACATTTCTCTAAATATCTAATATCTGTTTACATTAATACTAAATATCAGTCCATCCCTAGTTTACCTGGTTTCCTGCCTGCATCCACTGAAAACAGAGCTCAGGTTGGCAACTCCACAATCCACCACATCACAGCAGCAGCCGATGTCACAGAAATCTGGCGTGAGATCACAAATGCAATCTGCAGCCAAAGGAACACCGTGAAACATGGATCATGTTAGCAGATGTTTGAGCAGCGATCCCTAGTTGAAAACATCACCAGGGGTTCCAGATATTGTGGAACAAAGTGAATTGAAAAAATATAAATTACTGCCTGATATTGAAAAAACTCTATTTGGATTAGAAACTAAATTAAAATACTGATACATCATGACTTTGGTGCAATATTAATTTCAAGTATATCCCAATACTGATGCCACTATTTCACAGCAGGTAATCAGCAGATGTGTAAAAGGGTTAATTTATGGATAAAAGGTTGAAAGGTCCCCTACAAAACTTTGGTAAAACTAAAACAGTTGTTTTTGGGAACTATTTTGCTTACAAATGTGCGTACAATAGAAAACTCCCTAACACCCTGTACACTGTGTTTAAATATACTTTTTGTTGATTTTCTAAGTGAAAGTAAAGTAACTTAAATACAGCATTTTTCTGCTAATTTTAGCGCACAATTCATATTTATTTGCTGAGTTTAACATCAAACTCAAACATAACATGTTTAACTTTTGCGCAGGCCACATTTTATGTTTTATTGTTTTTTTTTGCAGTGTGTTAATTTCAGCAAATAAACAGCAGAAACATGCAGACGCGTGTTCTCTGTAGAGGATGTGTTAAATTATTTTCACTTACAAAATCAACAAAATGTTGATTTTGCCCAAACTGTGCCCCCCTTTTAAAAGCTTTCTGTACAGCTATCGTAAAAAAGTGAGTGTGGTAACTGCAGAAAATCAGATTTTGTCAGTAATCCGATCACACGTTTAGATGAACTTGATTAATCGGATAATGGGGAAACTCCAGGTCTACATGAGTCAGACAGTAATCAGATTTCTACTTTGCAACCAGCCAATAAACTCACAGAGACGTAAACGTAATGTACAACCCGAACTTCATGTCGCGGCTTTAAAATATCATCGCGCCACTTTACCTGAAAATATGAACTTATTCTTCATCTTCTAGATGATCTATTTAAATCCTTCATTTCGTCAAACGTATTTGGTTTCAGCGTCGCTCCAAAAGTGTTTTGCTGCGTCTCGCGGTGACGCTGCTCGCTTATTTCCGGTTCTGCCGTATGTTTTCGCACATGCTCAGACTGAAAAATCCGAAAGAAATCAGAGTAAGAGTACACATGCACTGAGAAATCTGATTACTGAGCTAAAATCCAGCTCTCCAGATTTGTAGACCTTACTCCAATCAAAGAAATCAGAGTGCACGTAAACGCACTCGGTGTCGGAGACATCAGGCAGCGCATTTTGTGAAATAACCTTTTGTGAGGGAGCTTTTAGAGGTGGACGTTTGGTTCATAGCACCACCACTGTGAAAAACTCTGACTCGAGTCAGAAGTGAGTCAGAAAAGTGTCTCTAGAACAGAGCGTTTCACACCAAACCACTCTGAATGACTTTGTTTACATCCTAACCATTTAACCAGTCACTGAGAGCAGAGTCGATATCCAGTTCATTGTTATTAGATATTTAATACTATTGTGCCTAATATCAAATAAATGAACACAGTTAGGATCACGATGGTTTAGTGTGGATAAAACAAAATAATTTTAACATATTAGCAATTCAGAAAGTCAGAGCGTTACCGCTGGAGGTTATGATTGGCTCTGCGGTCATGGGGCTGACAGTGGGCATGGCGCGGTCATCAAATCCTCTTGGAATAACACTTGGGGTGGCGGTTTCCACAGGATCTGAAGCTCCAGCTGTAACTGAGTGGATCGTAGACTCTGTTGCTGCTGCAGCTGTCAGATTTTCTGTAAACAGATGGTCATCCCAATCCACAGGAGGCAGTCCAGTGTGGCTCTCAGTGCCCTGCGAGTCTGTAGCCGGCGGCAAAATCACCCCAAGAGCCAAGACCAGCTGCAGAAGGGAACAGCGAGACAGCATTCTGCAGAAAACACAACAGGCAGCATCAGTGAGACACAGTCAGCATGGAGGTACGACACAGTATAAAACAGAGAGTGTGATCTAGTATCAGTATGTCAAGTCAGTATGAAATGGAACCAGTATAAGATTGAATAAGTATGAAATAAAGTTAATATAAGACGGATTAAGTATAAGATTAAGTACTGTCAAGTTGGTTCTGACTCCTGGCAATTTGGATTGTCTCATATATCTTCACCAACTCCCAGGGCTGGACGATTTGGGGAAAATATCTCATTGCGATTTTTCTGAATAATATTGCAATTCAAGTGTAACTATTTCCTATGTATGAATTTCCCAGCCTGTTTTTGGCCAAGAAGACCAGAATATCCACTTCTTCTGGCATGAAGCTTTAATACTGAGTGAGTCAGACTACAGTAAGTTGTGTTGGGATGTCACATAAACAGAGCAGGGGTGTTATAAGATGGAAACAATATAAGACTGCCTGCTTAACAGGGAGTCGACTATACAAATATATACACTTTATTAAGTCCACCTCCTCATTTCTACACTCTTTCTCCATTTTATCAGCTCCACTGACCGTATAGTTTCAGTCTGTAGTTCTACAGTTACAGACTGTAGTCCATCTGTTTCTCTGCATACTATGTTACGCTGTTCTTCAATGGTCAGGACCCCCATGGACCCTCACAGAGCAGGTACTATTTAGGTGGTGGATCATTCTCAGCACTGCAGTAACACTGACGTGGTGGTGGTGTGTTAGTGTGTGTTGTGCTGGTACGAGTGGATCAGACACAGCAGTGCTGCTGGAGTTTTTAAACACCGTGTCCACTCACTGTCCACTCTATTAGACACTCCTACCTTGTCAGTCCACCTTGTAGATGTAAAGTCAGAGACGATAGCTCATCTGCTGCTGCACAGTTTGTGTTGGTCATCCTCTAGTCCTTCATCAGTGGTCACAGGACCCTGCCCACAGGACGCTGTTGGCTGGATATTTTAGGTTCTCAGTCCAGCAGCAACACTGAGGTGATTAAAAATTCCAGCAGCACTGCTGTGTCTGATCCACTCGTACCAGCACAACACACACTGACACACCACCACCACGTCAGTGTTACTGCAGTGCTGAGAATGATCCACCACCCAAATAGTACCTGCTCTGTGAGGGTCCATGGGGGTCCTGACCACTGAAGAACAGGGTAAAAGGGGGCTAACAAAATATGCAGAGAAACAGATGGACTACAGTCTGTAACTGTAGAACTACAAAGTGCACCTATATAGTAAGTGGAGCTGATAAAATGGACAATGAGTGTAGAAACAAGGAGGTGGGCTCAATGAAGTGACCGGTCGGGGAACACATCTCTGGGAAAAAAATGAACAAAGTACCAAGCTATGAAACAAACCAGTGTCCTAAAATTTACACACATCGCTCAGCACTAATACACAGATTTACATCACAACAGTCACCAAAACTGTGGATTATAGTGACCAAACCTCTCAGAACAGGAGCTCCGTGTGGTCAGAGATGTGGAGAGATTAGCCAGCGAGAAGGTGCGGACAGTAAACAAGCAGCCCGACAAGAGCTTCTTCGGATAAAGTCGGTGACCAGCGTGTCTTTAACGAGACTGACCCCTAAAGTTAAACAGTCAAAACCCTTTAATGTCTGAAACCGAACCATAAAATACACAACAAACACAAAATATGAACGAGAATCATCTTAGCAACGCAACGGCCGCCGTCGTTAAGGAAGCCGTGAGACTTCCATTGCGCCAATCAGCGCCTTCGGACGAGAGCTTGTGATGTATGAACCGTAATCCGTCTAGTAGTGGCGGCGCTGTTTGGATTTTGTGTTGTGTTTTAATCTTTATTTTAATTTTATTGTATTTTTTTTTAGAAAAGGGATTACAGAGCCCATTATTTGAATCTCGACCCCGCTTTCGTTCATTTTTATGTTTAAAATGTATAAAGCAACAAACATAATAAAATAATAAAATAATGAACTAAAAAATGTTTGATAGTTCAATATTAGTTCGATGCTAGCAATAAAAATACGCACAACCTAAGGATGTACGTTTGTTTTATTTAATCCAAATACACAAAAGTAATAGACTTCAACAGTGCATGTTTGTTGTATCGTATATTTTTAGGGTATTTTTTTTACTTCACGTTCGTTTTAAGCAGTCAACAAACTGTTTTAAAATCGAAGCAAAAGTGGGAGTAATTTTGAACTGTTTGCATTAGTACAAAACACACAGGCCGCATCTCAAATCACTCTCTGCTCCCTATATAGTGCACTACGCAGGTAAGAAAATAACAGCTTCTCTACCCAAATGGTGCACTGCCAAAAGGCATCCATCTGAAAATTAGTCCAAATAATTATTATTTAACCTAGTATAATATATAGTATATAGTATATAGTATATAGTATATACCAGTCCCGCTTATAAACTAATCAGGTTACGCACATTTTCGCTCCGTAATTATGGACTTATCGCGTAGTGAATGAGGGAAGGAGTGTCGATTTGATACGCGCCCAAAGCTTCGTGTTAACGTGGTTACTAAGCAACGTCGACTGTTTGGTGAAGAAAAGCGATTCAGTTTGAGAAAGAAGAAAAGGTAAAAGCTCAAAAAAGAACCAGGCCATGACTTTAGAGGTGAGGTTTTTATACAGCACAAGCGTTGTTACATCTATTAACGTTAGTTAAATAAAGTTGAAGTAAAAGTAGCTCCCAAAAACCAAACTAACGTTTGCAATCTCCTCAAGTAGGTGCAGTAACCGTTAATTTTCTAGAACTGCTGTGGATCTTCTTAACCCAGCACAGTCAGCGTCTATCAGTGTATCAGTTTTAGGCTCTGTTCTTCTCTTTTTCACAACGGCGTTTTAGGGCCACTGTTAATAAAAATAAAAATAGTAGACTTCGAGAATAAAGTCGTAATATTTCGAGACAAAAGTCGTACGGTATGATATTTCGAGACTAAAATTGTAATATTTCGAGAAAAAAGTCATAATATTTCAAGAAAAAAATCGTAACTACTATTTCGAGAAAAAAGTCGCAATATTTCGATAAAAAAGTCGTAATATTTCAAGAAAATTTCGTACTATTTAGAGAAAAAAAAGTCATAATATTTTGAGGAAAAAAAGTCGTAGAATTACATCAGAGTGGCATTAATACTCAGTCTCCCTGTCTCTCCTGCACATCAGCACCAGCCTGTTATTTGGATAAGAACCGGCTGAAACGGCTGAGCAGGAAACTGTGTTTATCTAGAATAAAGAGCCGGACGGACTCGGAGGAAACTGTCCGTCTGTGTTGTTGAAGGAGAATCGCAGGGTCGTCTACACGGCTATCGGGGGCTACATCTCCCCCCATTCAAAGAGGGCATGGAGTTTCACAGACAGTGAGAATGATGATCAAAATGATCCACATAGAGACAGGAGTGAGTGGAGCTCCGGCGCCAGTACAGCAACCGAGACCCCAACACGTTATGGCAGCCCCCCTACAGTCCAGCAGCCCCACTACAGTTAGCCCCCCTACAGTTAGACCACTTTATCATCCAAATATTAGGACTTTATTCTTAAAATATTAGGACTTTATTCTCGAAGTGTACTATTTTTATTTTTATTAACAGTGGCCCTAAAACGCTGTCGTACTTTTCTGGATAATTTTGGTCTTAAATGCTAAAGCTCCAAATTAAGACGTATGAGCAATAAAAAAGCAGCCCTAGAGCTGAACCAACAGAACAAAGTGAAATAAATGAATCTGAAATAATGTCTAAAAAGGAATTAGAAGCTAATGTAAATGTGAGGGACTCAAATGGACCTGCTTACCATGGAAGCCCATTTCACCACTGGAAAAAATACATAGCCATTTAGTAAATCATAACAATGAGAAAGTTTACCATAATTATGACCTAATATCTCATAATAATGACATAACATCTCATAGTTATAATTTACTTTCTCACAGTTATGACTTGCTATCTCATAATAATGATATTTAGTCTAATAATGACTTAATATCTCATGATGCTGACTTAGTATGTCATGATTGTGACTAACAATATCATATTTACGACTTGCTGTCTCAAAATTATGACTTACAGTTCCATGATTATGACTTACTATCTTAATTTAGACTTACTTTCCCGTGATTATGGCCTAGCTTTTTCTATTTATGAGATAGTAAGTTGTATTTATGGGATTGTAAGTCATAACTACGACTTACAATCTCATAATTATGACTTACTTATTCGTAATTATGACCTAGCATTTCATAATTATGACTTTGCCTCTCATAATTGTGACTTAGCATCTCATTATTATGACTTTCCCTCTCATTATGAGACACTACATTATTGTTATGAGATAGAATCTCATTATTTTGAGATAGCAAGTCATAATTATAAGATTCTATGTCATAATTATAAAAAACATTTTCAATTTTATGACTTAATAAATGGCTATATAAAAAATGGCCCAACATTGCAACCGTCACTCAAATATTGTTTGGCCACACTGAGTTCAATATAGCCACACTTTGAAAATAGTCCAGTTTTTTATTGCCAGATTGATAAACTATGTTCACTCTCAGATGATGAGACTGTATGTTATATCTGGGAGATATTGATACTGTCAGTAATATGTCTGAGGTCATTCCATCTAGTTGTCAAACAGCTTTCCGGCACCTCCAGGACTTGCAGATGAGGGCCTTCAGACAAAGCATCAAGTTCATCGTCCAGATCTCCTCAGCCTCTCAGACTCTGGTACAGACACAGAAGGTGACGATGTCAGCGAAACTGGGAGCGATTCAGAAACGGAACCGAATGAAGCCCCTCAAATGCAGAGTAGCCTCTCCGTCCAGGGTCCAGCACACTTTCCTGCCAAAAAAGAGGACTTGAGAGAACAAACCCAGCCCAAGACGGACGGAGACCTCCACATACACTCAGTCCTGTGAGTGCAGGCCTCGTTCAGTCCTTAAAGGCAAATCCAGAAAGCAAGTGAGACAAGTAATAAAAATTCTTTATTTACATAGCAAATTTCATTTTAGTTACAGAACCTTATGCAGGAATACTGCCCTGTTGTGGCTCCACAGCAAAATCAGATTTGTAGGTAAAAATAAAATAATCCTCCTTTACAGTAAAATAAAGCTCTGCTGATCGTTCAACACAGTTTAACACTAAATGACCTTAAACACTGGAGTTAATGTATTTTTAATCTTTAACCCTGAAGGTTGGCGCGCAGACTGCTGGTCACCATAGCAACGCAGACAATCTCACCTAATCTCATAGCTAACGAAAAGGTAAAGAGAAAGATTTAAGACAAACATTGATAATTTGGAGACGAATGGACTTATTTGCGTTTATAATCACTCCAGCTGGTTTCCTGATACGTTTAATCTGCAACAAGAGACTGACAAACACTAAAAAGTCGCGAAGATTGTCAGCTTCTTGGTCGAATTTTCCCGTTCCACCTTAAATAGTGCAGCAGTCACATTCTGGCGCCTCAGGCACCATTTAAGGTGGAACGGAAAAATTCGAACAAGAAGCTGGTGAATGAGAAGCAACTTCAGCCTCGTAAAAAATCAAATGTTGAGAGAAATTTTACAAGAAACTGTTCTACTTTTGAGGAAAAGTTTCCTGCTGGAGATGCGAGAAAAGCTATAGCTGAGCTAAAGCTTAAAGCAGAGCAAAGTGAGTCTGCGTTTTTGTTTATATTATATTTTTAGTCTACACTAGTACATCAGCACAGACTGAGACATATTTACAGCCAAGATGGTAAAATGGACATAATGTGGCTCCCAAGGTGGTTTGATTTTTGCTGAAAGAACAAAATGTCTCTTCTTAACATTTGGGTTGCGACCCCTGGTAATTGAAATAACAGCACAAACTATTGGAGAAAAAAGAGGCCTAGCCTAAAAAAATATATATTTGAAGCTGGATTTTAAAACACATCGCAATACTGCATTCCTAATATTCCCTGGAAGTTATATAAGAAAATGATTCTCCACCAACTGAGCTGTAAGTGATCCTAGGAGTTTGTAGTAAGCCTGCCTCAGCTGAGTGAATAGGTCTGGATGGGCTATAATGCTTCAATAGATCAGTAAAATATACTGGAGCCTGGCCATTAAGCACTTTAAATGTCATAAGGCCAAGCTTTGGGGTTAAAGCAAGACTTAACAGGAAGCCAGTGTAGATTAGAGTGAAATGCTCAGACTTTATTTTCCTGCTGCATATGTCTTATTTTGGATGTGCTACATTACACAGCATCTTAGAGATGTTATCTATATGGGACTCTGATGTTAAACTAGCATCCAGGATTATGCCAGTGTTTTTGACTGTAGATTTTGTTTGCACAGAAACACCATTTAAGTCAAGAATAAAATCTGCAACCTTATTTGAAACAAACAAAACAAACGAACAGCTGCAATAATTCTGTTTTGAATGTGGCTGAGCTGACATCTGTTCAATGGGCTGTCAATAAAAAAAACAGTGAGGGCCCTAAAACAGAGCCTTGTGGGACACCATATTGCAGTCTGGTGTGGTGATTCTTTAGGCATGCAGTTAACACAATGCTAACAAGTGGCTATAAGTTTCATTGTAGTACGTTTTTAGCTACATTACATCTCCAGAACATAACTACAGAAGCAAATATCGGACAACAACAATGTCTTGGCTGATCTGTGCTGGATTCATCCTAACTCCTGTTCTCCATCTATTCCAGAGAGTGTGGCTGTGAGGTCATGACATGTCAGTTCAGTAGTGATGGAGCGCTGCTTGCTGTTGGGCTCTGCGATGGTTCCATCAAGGTTTGTTGCAGATCCTCAAACACCATTTTAGACACCTTTAGACTTTCAAGGGTTAAGCTCTCACATGGAAACATTTGATTGTTGGTTAAATCTCACAGGTGTATAGCACCGACAGTGGTGAACTGGCCCAGACTTTGAAGGACAGCGGCAGTGTTCTCTCAGGTGTGCCTGTAACCAGCCTGCGCTTCACCCACAGTGGGCAGGCACACTGCCTACTATTGGCCACCTGTGAGTACACACACTTTCTGTCGGCTAGGATCAACAAAACAGATTAACTGACTTGTTGACTGATTAATTTAAATGGAAAATGCTGTACAGTCTCAAGCTGGACAGCGCATAGAAAAATGGGACACCGAATCTAACGGGAATCTAAAATAGGTTTAAAAAGAGGTAAAGTTGTCTATAGCTTATAAGAGAAATATTTAAAACAGTGTTTAATAACACAGCAATAAGTGTAGTCACACCACACAAGTCTTTGTGTGATGCTGGTCGCAAGCATCATGCCACTAAAAGCACACAAAAGAAGTGAATTAATTCACGAAAACACAGTGTTGCAGCGGTGTTTTAAGTTTCAGGCCATGTGGAAGAGTTGAAAATGCAGTTTGAAACTAAACATATACAGAGAATCATATGAGGAATCACCAGAGGAATGCAACCACTTTCTACTGATTTCTAAAGAGAAGGAGTTGTCAGAGAAAATGATACACAAACCTGCCTAGGAATGCCAACCTGTTCTCATCTACCAGCTTTAGTGGTGGGGCAACCGTGGTGGTCACTGCCATCCCAGTCCCCGTACTGGTATTTGTCCATTTAAAGAGTAACTACATCCTAAGACCTTTTTTTTCATTAACAGCTGATATGCTCTGCTCTGTAATAATGAAATATACCAGCCTAGCTTAAAATGACACATCTTTCCAAACTGTAAAAATATCATTTTTATCATGGTCAGTTCCGCCTGTCTTCGTACCAAAGTACATTGACACGTCACAGTATGCAAATCAGTCAAACAATGTTACCGCCCCCGATGACGCCCTACTCGTGCCGCACTCATAAATATGAAAGCACAGGAGCCGAGAGTGACACGCTGAGCTAAATACCCCCAGCACCACATCACAAGGCTGCGATATGCCAGCTGTCTGTACTGTAACCCAGTTAATCTAAGCTTAGTTTGTAATAAAGATTGATAATGCTCACTGTATAAATAGGTAACCTGAAGGACCAATTAAGTGAGGATTCTTGCGAGTCTCCATAAAGCTGCCGGTGTTGCATCCGATTCATGTTTCCCTTCACAAATTAAACTTGGGCGCGTGACTCCCTGAACAGACACGTTAAATGGCCATTGTTACTGACGGTGTCAACCTTTCGTGAACTTTTTTCTCGCTTTCCGTAGTTCCAGTGTTGCTTGCCGTTGAAAAGATAATTCGAAGCTCACTCTCACGGTTTTAGGTAATGTTCTACCATTCAGCGCCTCTGCCACTCGCTGCTAATCATTTTCTGGCACTACGTTAACTCTTCGGTGGCTTGAGTCAGTGGCTCATACTGTTAAGGCTCAAGACGCACTGCCTGATCAGAAACTACTTCCCTTGTCGAAGGTGGTGATGGTAGTGGAGAAAAATCGTCAACCTCATAAGACTCTCAGTTGCAAAAGTGCTGTTTGATTCTGTCTCTCTCCATATTTTCTGGTAGTTAACGTTAACTGTAAAAACACAGCAGCCCAGTCTGCCCGGTTTCCCTCCCACCCGCACCTCCAAACCCAAACATCACTGCAGTGACCCTCCTATTTTTGAGCATTTTTCAAATTGAGCCAGGGGTGGAGTTGGAAGTAGTGGGTATAGTTACTCTTTAACAACTTAGGTATCTGCTGAACAATGGGCATTTTGCTATGCACTGCATAAACTCATACATAGTTTTCAGATACAAGACCTCCATTCACACCAGATAAGAAGTGGATATAAGTGGCTTCACCCATTTCCATGTAATGAAATCATTTTTATTTTATTTTTAAAATGGACCAAAGTACAGATAAAATTCAGGCTTCAAGATGGCTGCTACTGCTGTTTTAGCGATAGTAATGTACCTTTGTCCATGTTTATAGATAACAGTATGTCACACAGTGTCAGAAACCACATAAGCAAGTCTATTTTAGTTTACTCAACGACTTCTCACAGTTTGAGGTAAGTTTGTGATGATTTAGACATACAGTTAGTATAGCATGTAGTATAAGCTTCCATTACATGTTAGCCACATTAGCCTCATGGCTCCAGTGCAAAACAAAGAAGCAAACTTCGAGCACCACTGACTGCAGTGATTTTTGGTGAGGAGACATTTGTGTAAATTATTTTTGTTTTCACCAGGCTTTTCATTTCAAGCACAAATAAACATACCTTTGTAGTGCTGTGGCCTTCAGAGCTGGAGAGAAAAGCTCTTCTTCCATCTCTGGGAGGGAGTGGATACAGCTGGCCTGTGTTTCCTGTCTCAGGGAGAACCGTGTTTCAGCAACCATTTACAGCCCCCTAATGCCCTCTCATTCTTATAAAAATAACACTTGACAGGAAGCTGCTTTTATGTTAAGTAACTGGTTTATAAGTCAGTATGGTTGGCTGAGCAGCAATACGGCCAACAGTGGAGTTCAGTCTGACTGGCTGCCAAAGACTTTCTGCTTGCATTGGCACACACATACTCTTTTATGTCCCCTCGCAGAGCAGCCAGCAGTTCAAAGAACCTTCAGACACAAAATTGACTGGATAGCACCTGTTAGCACTGGATGCTAACAGTTGGTGGGCATGCTAGATCAAAGGCTAAAAGGAGGACATCTAGTATTTCGAAGGATATTTTCCACCTCACCGATCTAATCTCCTCTAGCCTTTCTCATAATCGTATTATAGCTCATTACAACACAGATTTGAATCAACAGATCCTGAGAGGAAAGCTGAACATTCTGGATTGTGGTCTGTAGAGGCCGTGATATTGTAGTGAGGTGTGTGAGGTTATATTCTGATTGTAATGTGTCACAAAGCTATGATATTGTGGCACTAGCGGAGAAAGCCCCCCTGGTTGTGCACAGAACAACCCGAAAAATCAAGCATTTTTGGGCCAAATGCTACAAACTAATTGTGAAGTTTTCGTTAGATTTTACCAGTGATTTCAAATAATTTTTAAAAACAGTAATTTCACCTTTAGTTTAGAGTATTTTGGTCTCTCCACATTCAAAGAAAAAGGAGCCTGTTATATGACTGGAACTAAGTAGCTAGCTAACAAGATCAAGCCTGAGCTTACTTGTAACATTAGTGAATAAATCAGTGTGAAAAATATAGAATAAAAACAACAGTTAATGAAAAACAAAAATCCTAATTCAGAGATAGCTCCAAAGCATCCTACAAGTTGGTAAGCTTGATATGATGTGTATCGGCAGAGCAGCAGAACCTCTCAATTAGTTCGTTTACCACAACACAGTGTGATATATCAGGGCCTGAAATTCCCTCCTTAAATGTTTCATACAGGGGGGATTTATACACTTTTGGGGGGAATATTACTTGTGAGCCTAAGTATAGGTCTTACCTTCTCCCATTCTTTTTGAAAGCATTTTTGAAAGAAGGACACTTCATCTCTTTCATGAATTTAACCAGATGACCAAATTTTGAATTAGCCAATTCGTTTTCTGCTATAAAGTAGGTTTTGAGAAGCCCCTTTGTTTCCTCCTCACACTGCAACTGCGCAACTTCAGTAGCTTTAGCCATCACATTCTTTGCTGAATCTGCCTCACTCTTTCTTTTCAAGGCTGCAGTATGAGAATCGGCTTCTGAGTGGCGCCTTAAAGTTGATGTTTTGTAACATCGGCTGGTAAAAGACGCAGCACCGTACATTTTACAAATCGAGCAGCTCATTTCATCGATGTTAAGTTCGAGCCACGGAAATATTCTGAGCCAGTTAGTCTGAAACTTGCCTTTGGACTGCTGCTTCACCCCGCTAACGTTACTGTTACCTGACTGAGGATCTGGAGGATTGATGTCGTTAACGTTGACCTCTCTAGAACTGCTGTTTACGCCAGCCCTTTTGGGTTCAGGTGTTTTTTTCTGAACAGGTTCCACTTCAGTCAGCAGTCCATGTTTGCATACCTTTAAGTCCACATCATTGAAACCTGTCTGTAAATGTTAGCGAGAGGTGCTGCAGCAGCAGAGGCTGCTCGTAGGCTCGTACATAGAGGGAGAGAGAGCGGCAAGTGCGTTGTCCAGGGTGGAAGTCAGTCCGTTAGGCCAGTCCACACTGGTGCAAATGTTGGCTGAACATCGCTGTAAAAGTCTGTGGGAATTGTAATTGTTAGATTTGTGGAAATCGTAGAAATTATGCACAATAACCGCAATCCCGCACTGAAATTCAGGCCTGGGATGTGAACATTTTGTGTACAGATCCATTCTTTTCGGGATACCTGCTTTCATGTTGCAGGGAAATTTGTCTACACCTCAAAGTTCAGTCTTAGGAGTTGGTTGCATTTTCTGCTCTCTGATGTTGCGATCTGGGCTCTGTGGTGGCCATTGTTCTTCCATTGTCCGTTGTTCTTCAGAAAGTTTGGTACCATGTAGGATTGGCATGTGGTATATGTTTGGGACATAGCATGCATAACATTCATCTCCCCTCTCTCTCTCTCTCTCTGTCTCTCTCTCTATCTCTCTCTCTCTCTCTCAGATGCCAGTGGTAGTGTGAGGTGTTGGTACGTGTGGGGACCGCAGTGTATGTGGTGGCTGAAAGAAGCGAAGGATGGTGAAAGGGTGCAGAGACAGACTCTTTCACTCTCCGTCTCTCCATCCGGAGAGCGAGCAGTAACCGGCGGCTCAGATTCATTCATCCACCTATATGACCTCGCCACTCACCAGAGACTACAAATCTGCGGGGCCAGGTAGCCTATAAGACTTCATTTCCCATCATTCAATACGGCACACATTTACAATGGTTTTAAATAACATTGCATATGTTTCTTAAATTGAACAATACTGGCAGGAATGTAGCCTGATAAGAACCAAGTTGAAATACTTTTGAAAGGCCTTTCACAATGTCCATTCAGCTGCACCGTGCTCTCTCCACAAGAACCTTCTTTTGGAGCTGTAAGGTTGGACAAGGTTTAATGGCAATTACGTACAAGTTATTCATTTGTCAGTGTTAAGGAAATAGCAGAGAACATATATGTAACTGAAAATGACACCTCAAAAGCCTTGACAACTAAATATGTCATTTTTTCTGTAATTTAGTGTGTCTGTCTTTACCTTTATTACAGCTTCCATTCTTTTCAGGAGACTCACTTTCAGTTTCTCAAAGAATCTGCAGACACACCTCCAAAGTTGATCATTTTCTGAAGTAATCAAACACATTCAGTGGTGTTGAGGTCTGGACTCTGGGGTGGTCAGCCCATTGTTCAGCTTCTTTGTTTGATGTGTCCGTCTCCTTTTCTCAGTGAGGTTCTTCTTGACAGCTACACATCCTTTCAGACCCACGACTGAACGACTTTTTTGCAATTGTGATTTAGATGCAATTATTTTCTATATATGAATTTTCAGGCAGTTGTTTTGGCCAAGAACACCAGAACATCCACTTGTAAAATTTGCAGCTCTTGCAGTTTGAAAATTGCACTCTTTTAGATTGTGATTTTGATATAACTGTGATTAACACATGGATTTTTTCCCATCTGCAGCAAGAATGAAGCTTCTCCCATCATGGGCACAGTTTTGGTGGCCTACTAGATATTATTAGTCTTATTTTCTCTATATCTTTTCATAATTTCTCAGTTTTGGAAACTTTTTTTCACTTATTTTCCTTTGATTTTTCACACGCGTATGCAAGAGAATTATCTTATGTTTAAAATAATTGTCTCCTGAAAAACGAACAACTTAATGGCTGTTTTGACCAGAAATTAATAAACTAAAAGTGGTCTCTGACTTGTAGACAGCCCTGTACATTTTGACTTATGAGATGAATTGGACTTTTGCCAACATCCTGTGAAGCTTGTCCAGTTTAGCAGTCGCTACGAAAGAACATATTTGTGGGCGGAGCGTGGAGATGTCAGTTGTCTTAGCGAATTCCACAAGATTCATTTAATATTTGATAGATGTCAGCATCACGAGATGGAATGTTGAGTTCAGTGTGAATTCCGTGAAAATAAAATTAAAGTATCAACCAAATGCTTTTTAAAATGCAGCTCCACTGAACCTGCCTGTTGCATTTCACAGCGGTATGAAAACAGTTATGGACGGACACTGGTTACGAGTCATCGCTGTGAGTTTCCATCCTGAGAGGGAGACTCAGTTCATATCGGGAGGATGGGACAACACCATTCAAGTAAAGGACAATTTCATTTGTTACTTGATCATACACAGTCTATACCAGGGGTCGGCATCACGCGGCTCTGGAGCCGCATGCGGCTCTTTTACTGCCCTGTTGTGGCTCCACAGCAGAATTAGATTCTTTACAGTAAAATAAAGCTCTGCTGATCGTTCAGCACAGTTTTAACAATAAATTGTCTTAAACACTGGAGTTAATGTAGAACTGCTAATTCACCCTTTAACGCCGAAGGTTGGCGCACAGACTGCAGGTCACCATAGCAACACTCAGACAGTCTCGCCTAGCTAGTAGCTAACGAAAAGGTAAAGAGAAAGATTTAAGACGAACATTGATAATTTGGAGATGAATGGATGTATTTGCATTTATAATCACTCCAGCTGGTTTCCTGATACGTATAATCTGCAGCGAGAAACTCACAAACACTAAAAAGTCGCGAAGCTGTAGTCAGTTTCTCATTCGCCAGCTTCTTATTTGAATTGTCCCGTTCCACCTTAAATGGTGCAGCAGTTACATTGTGGCGCCTCAGGCACCATTTAAGGTGGAACGGGAAAATTCGAAAAAGAACCTGGCGAATGAGAATGAGAAAATTGGAGACATTTTACAAGAAGCTGTTCTACTTTTGAGGAAAAGTTTCCTGCTGGAGATGTGAGAAAAGCGGCTATAGCTGAGCTAAAGCTTAAAGCCGAGCAGAAAACAGTGTTTTCGTTTATAGTATATTTTTGCCTTTACTAGTCTCAGCACATACTGAGACATATGTATAGCCAAGATGGTAAAATGGACATGAAATGTTGTGGCTCCCAAGGTGGTTTGATTTTTGTTGAAAGGACAAAATAGCTCTTCTTAACATTTGGGTTACGACCCCTGGTCTATACGGATCATTCTACTGAATTGGTTCAAAGAGTTTAAAAACACATTCTCGACATTTAATTAACTTGGACTGTAGACTAAGATCTTTTCGCATTAAATGATCTTAATTATTAATTTGCCTTAATTTTTTTTTATTACAATAAATGATTAAACATTTCATTTTGTCACTGTCAAAACAATCACAACACTACTGAAACTTTGCCAAATGTATCAGTAGTGACTCTTTCGATAGAGATAATTTTAGCTAATTTTGACTCAAAAACACAGCCAGTACATGACCAGCAAACACAGCTTTGAACATTTGTACACATATAAAATCATAATATTTTCATTAAAACATATAAAAACCTATTTAATAGCAGAAAATATGTGTTTCGATAGTGACGGTTCCTAATGTTCCACACTGATTTTCAGACTTTGGGACACATTTACTTCAAAACAATGGGATCTAACTGCTCATCATGTGGCCATGAGGGACAGGGATGCAGCCTCACTTTCTGCTCTGAAATGCAGGGGCGTGGCTAAAATAAGGCTCTGTCTTGTGTTTCGGTTGTGACGCAAAAATGTGGGAGAGCAGTGTTTTTATTCAAAATGAAATCGTTCAACTTAATTTAGAAATAAAAACAAAAAGATCTTTAAAAGCAACACTGAAAAAAATAAAAACAAATGTTAGTATTATTTTCACAGGTGTAAATTTAGGGGTTAGGTTTTGGGACAGACACCTCCCAATAGAAAGTGTCCTATAAATGATGGTTTTGTATGTATGTACATTATTACTATCTCAATTAAAGCCTTGGGTTTAAATAGATCATAACATGTTCCTTGTAAATATCTAAGGTATGAATACTTAACTGTTTAGTTTACTGTGGGAGCTCATTTTGAACGTATTTGCTAGAATGGTCCATAAATCAAATGATGGGATAATAAAATCAGTTAACATGATTGTTTTTTGTATTTTTTTTTAGTTTTGGGACACAAGACAGCAACACTCTGTCAGGTACATTAGATGCAACAGTGTCCTTGTTGTCAGGACAAAACCTTGTATCTCCATGTTTGTCATTTTTCGTATTTTGACATCATTTGCCCAAATTTCCTTTACACTGTCTGTGTTTACATGCAAAGATTTTCTCCAATCCAATTGAACACATTCTGATTACAGATTAAGACTGAGGTGTTTATTCTCACTCTACTCAACAAACTGATGGAAAATCTCTGTTTACATGCTTATGTCAAGTAATCATATCCAAAATTAGGCGCATGTGTAGAGAACCACTTACCACGTTACCGTGACAACCAGCCAGAGTAAGATGAGCAGCAGTGAGCAGTGCTTGTGTTTTTAATAACTTTAAAATGATGTCAGACTCAGGAAAACGTCCTTCACATGTCCTTATTAAAGAAGGCCGAGAGGAAGACGTCGTGTTCTGTGACACATAAGCTGGACGTCCGTCCCACCGCCGTCTTTTAAAGATCAGAGCAGAAACTTCGTCTCCTCTGCAGACCAGTTTCTGCTCCGCCATGTTGAACGGTATAAACTTTCACTATGACGCGACGAACATGATCAGAACGCACCTAAACTTTCCGATAGGGAATGTAATCAGATACAGATGTTTACACGGATATTATTCTTCTATTTAACAGATTATTTACAGGATTACCCACCTCGATCAGTCGGATAGAAACTGTATTCCGAATGGCCTCAATCAGACTAGTCTATTCCGATTGAGGTGTTTACATGGACGTATTCTATTCTGATTGAGCTATTAGTCAGATTATTAATGGATGATTAGCCTGCATGTAAACGTGACTATTGTTTCAAAATTTCATGATGAATGCACCTCTAGAAATGGTCCAGAATTACTTGGAATAAAGCATTTCTCCATTAACTTCCATTAAAAATAAGAAAGTTATTTCCTTCTCCTGTAAAGTTACATATTTGGAGATTCAAGGTTTTTTCTACAGGGACGATATGCTCATAAAGCATTTAACCCTATTACTCTTCAGCCCTGTGGCCACTTTCATAAACCATCTTAAGCAGCTATCCTAAGTTAAATGCTTAAGGGATCAATTTAAAGCTGTAATTTTAAATCTAAATTGAAGTTTTGTAATTAAAAGCTCTCAAATTTAATCTTAGATTCTAAAACTCAGGTTACAGTTGTGTATTTTTACCCCTTTCCTCCTTTTACGCACCTCACTTAAGGTAAAGGGAGAAGCCATTCACTTAAGATCTTTTATGCAAGTGACCACTGGCCTGTCTGACCACCTTTCTACTTAGGTATCAGTTTTGAGTATCACTTTATTTGAAGGCTGCCTACATGAGGACTGCGTAACTCATGCATAAGCATTGAATAATGGTTTTAATTACTTAGGTATTTGATGAACAGCTTATGTCAGTATTCGCAAGATGGCATGAGATATTTTATGAAAGAAATTACATTATATATACCAAAGTGGCACTTATAATACTGTTAATAATAATAAAGCATCATTCCAAAGGCAGAGGACTAATTAATTAAAAAGAAAGACAATATCAGTTCTACAAAAGTTTATTTTAAGGGTGTCTCTTCATGGAACTGTTCTTAACTAAGCCTCTCTCTTAAAAGTTCCATAAGGGGTTCTAAAGGGAACAAATGTCCTACAGTTTAGTTCAAGGGCCCTTAAATCAATACATCTGAGATAATCTTGCAAATTGCTTTTTAAATGCATTATTCACTGCTTATGTATGTGTCATAAGGTGCCTCTGCTGGTAGCCTTCAAATGAGGTGGACTCTCACTTGTTACTGTGTAAAGAGTACCTATACTACCTGTTTAACGCTTAGTGAATGTCAACAATTGAGCACTAACATAAAAATAAATGTTTGCTCAGTAGTTCAAACAGTCATTTGTTATATTTCATTGTAATTTGGGTATTGAACTCTTATCTAGCTGTTTCTAACTTTCAGAATGATCTCTGGACCTCATGTGTGTGGCGACGCCCTTCATATCGACCCATCAGCCAATCAGATTCTCTCTGGTTCCTGGAGGAAACACAACACTCTGGAGGTACGGAAGCATATATATAAACTCCATTAAATACATTGAAAATATGACTGTACAAATTACACCTATCAATCTGAATAGTAATGCGTTTGAAGGATATTCCTAAATGCCCACTGTGGCAGTAATATTTTGATTTTGCATCAATTGTTCTGATTTCAAAGAGAGGTGTAAATCTCTGACCTCACAACGATTTGATTGGATTATCCTTAAGAAACAAGCCAAGACATCGTAAAAACTCGAACTTCCCCTCAATTTACACTGAATACCAAGTGTAAAATATATATATATTTCATGAGTTAAAAATAGCATAAGAAATTTATTTTGTGCAAATGTTAAAGGTCTTACATCTTGGAAAACCACATTTTCCTCACCATTTGGATGGGCTGTCATTATCATGGATTGACCTATAAATTTTCCCATAAATATTAATCTATTAACAATTTAATTCTTTTCTTATTTATTGTGTGCAGATATTAAAATACAAGCCTAAACTTTTACTTACTCACACAAATGTCCACAGTTACGAGAATTATGTGTAAAGCAAAGCTACGTTCTTCACGAGAGTGAAAATACAAGACAAAAGCTCCCATTCTGCCAACGTCCATGCTAAAAATGTTAGAATTAGCTACACAGCTAACAAATAAACAAACCTTACTCAGCGCTGCCCTTTAAAGGTTAGAGCACCAAGTTTCAGTGTTTTTATACACCCTGTGGTGCCACAATGAATTAATTTACTTCTTTCTTTTATTTGCATTTATTTCCCTCTGCTCACCACACTCTATTCACAGTTTGTTGCAGCATAACACGACTAACAACTTCAGTAAATGATTGCCGTCAGCTAAATCAGTTGCCATCATCTTAAATAACTGTGATTTTGTGATAAATGGGACAGGCCTAGATGTGGTATGTAAACATTGTTAAAGTTTTAAAAGGTACTGCTCCATATATGGGAATTGTTTTTATGTAATGAAAAAGCGCTTATATGCGCCTGTTCACTCTACAGCAGTTTAGCCCCACCCACTCACACTGAAGTCATAAGGGGTGTTTCAGCACAGACTACTTTTTGAATGGGGCACAATACAAGGCCAATCAGAACAGAGCACAGAGTTCATTTACATATATCTGTCTTAAAGGCACAGTAACAAACACAGCCTGTTTAATTCTAAGGGATAAAGAGTGATTAGAAATGATGATGTGAAAATCAGTTAAGACTACTTTTGCTCCAGAATCTCACACAAATGTTTTAAGTGGACCTTAAGATGCAAGAAACATGTAAGATGTGGTCCCTGAGTGCATCATGTATTGAATATTATTATAATGAATTCAAACATTCTACAATCGATGCAGTTGAACTACCTTCAAATGCATTATGATATGTTTTTGATATGTTTTACCTCCCTGGTGTACAGTTACGCTTCCTCCATATTACTGACTTCTTTCAGGTCTGGGATTACGATTCTGGTAAGAAAGTGTCCGAAGTTCCTCAGGACCCACATGGAGACAGCAAAGTAAGCTCCAAAACATATTCCACTCAGGCTTTACAGTTATTTGTAGAAGAACTGACTGATTTCTGTTATAACCACCTCACAGATCTACACCTGCCACTGGTTTGGGCAGGACCGCATAATAGCCGCAGGAGGACAAGCAAACATGCTGAGGGTCATCGACCGGCACAGTTTAATGGTGAGTAGCATCGAGAGCATGCTAATGTGATCTAAATGTAATACACAAACTTGCGTAATAGTTGGACTGTTTGTTTTGCATCCCCCTGTAGACAGAGTCCAGGTTGTTTGGCTTGCCCTCCGCAGTCTTCAGTTCTTCAGTGTGTCCATCTGGACAGTGGGCTGGTCTCATAGCGGCCACCTCAGGGGTCAGAGTGTTTCTGCTGAGCAGAAATCAGCATGTCAAGAAGCACCACCTCTGAGTTGCCTTAGCTTGGTAAATATCAATGAAAAAGAGATATAAGGCAAGAAACAGTCTCTCCTGGTTTGCGGCGTGTTTGAGTATTTTGTCCAGCTGTATCTGACGTTGTTCATTAAAATGTAATGTAACTCAATTACAAAATACTTCATTAAGTCCATCTCCTTGTTTCTACGCTCATTGTCCATTTTATCAGCTCCACTTACTATGTAGGTGCACTTTGTAGTTCTACAGTTACAGACAGTAGTCCATCTGTTTCTCTGCATACTTTGTTAGCCCCCTTTTACCCTGTTCTTCAGTGGTCAGAACCCCCATGGACCCTCACAGAGCAGGTACTGTTTGGGTGGAGGATCATTCTCAGCACTGCAGTAACACTGATGTGGTGGTGGTGTGTTAGTGTGTGTTGCGCTGGTGCGAGTGAATCAGACACAGCAGTGCTGCTGGAGTTTTTAAACACTGTGTCCACTCACTGTCCACTCTATTAGACACACCTACCTTGTTAGTCCACCTGTAAAGTCTGTTGCTGCACATTGTATGTATGGTCATCCTCTAGTCCTTCATCAGTGGACACAGGATGCTGTTGGCTGGATGTTTTTGGTTCTCAGTCCAGCAGCGACACTGAGGTGTTTACAAACTCCAGCAGCACTGCTGTGTCTGATCCACTCACACCAGCGCAACACACACTAACATACCACCACCACGTCAGTGTTACTGCAGTGCTGAGAATGACCCACCACCCAAATAACATCTGCTCTGTAAGGGTCTGATGTCTAGAATATCTAGAAATAAGTTAAACAGTCTTTTAATATTACTATAACAATCTCAAAATTAGAAATATTAGATATATCAACTAGATTTAAGATGATTTCATTTACCAAGATATCAGTTTATGCAGCGTAGATGGTTCCGTTACAAGGGAGTCCGGAGGTTTAACTAATTTAAGAGCTTGCATCCAGGGATGCCATATGTTGTCCCGAGCCCCAGGATCACTAAATCCACCCCTGTGACCGTTAAGGGCCAAATGATCCATTTTCCAGTCTACAGAATGGTTTCAGTCGCTGTTTAACAGATTAATGCTCTCTAAGGTGCAGACATGCTGTATTTTTATCATACCATACCATATCATATCATAAAGATTCATGTATTTCTGCACTGGTGTATTTTCTGGTTCTTCATCTGCTCTCTTTGACATCCCTTTTACTCCCAAGGAAAAAACAGTTTGTACGTCATGACAGTAATTAAAAATGCCCCAAGCTCATGACGTCTCCCATTTAAAAAATAAACTTAGCTTTATGAATTTTTGATAATGAATATGAATTTTTGAAGATTCACTTGGGAAGTTCATGGGCTGGGTCACTTCCCTCACTTCCTATCTCTGTTAGCTGCCTGTGCAAGGGAAATTCCACCAGTTTCTCAAAAATTCTGCATAATTCAACCATTAAGAAAGCCATTCAGAGAGGAACCAGACGTCCACCTCTAAAAGCTCCCTCACAGAAAGGTTTTATATGAAATGTGATGTCTGAAACATTGTTTTATGATGATTTTCAAATAAGATCTTGGCTTAAAACATATTTTTAAAAAAGCATTTATGGCGGAGAGACATGCAGGACGTCCTATTTTACTACCATCATCATGACGACATGTTTTAGGTTTGGATAGTAAATAAAATGGCTATTTTTGTCGTAGACACTGTGACCCCTGGTTCCATTCACCACCACTGTAAACGAATACACTCTCAGAAATAAAGGTAGTAAACTGTCACTGGGGCAGTACCCCTCTTGTCACTGGGGTGGTTCCCTCAAGGGTATGTCGGGACCAAGAGCTGTTTCTCCTTGCCCAAGGTCCAAACATACAGGACGGTGACTCTCAAAATGTATTAAGCTATAGCCCTATTTTCTTTACTATAATCTAATTTCTCTAAATAATAGAAGTAAAGTGTATCTATAAAAAGTAAAGAAGACAGAAAGGAATAAAAGGACTTCACCCGCTGAGTTCTTGTGGAAGGAAGGAAAAGCCCTTCTTCTCTACTGAGCTTGAGTGGCAAGATGGTTCCCGGACAACCACAATGCAAAGAACATCACGAAACATCCTTTTTTATATCCTGTTTGGGGTGATGAAGTAATCACCCCTCCCTTTTACACATATATATATTCCATATCACCTTGGTCCCCATTATATCCAAACTCTGCACGTTTCTTGGTAACCCTTATTTCCAAACGTACATGATATCAGTTTTTTTAAATCATCTTAGCTTGGCTGTACCACGTCGTCCTCTCAAGGCTATTAATTTAACCACTGCATTATTGAACTAACTCCAAGAGCTGGTTTCAACAGGTTCTTATCAGCTTACTCTGCTCTTAGAGGGTCAGCTTGCCCTCTTCTTTTACTATGTTAGCAAATGCCCACAGGCTTCTGGACGCTTCTGTAGCTTCAGGAACTCCTCAATCCCTCATGTAGGCAAACTAAGGCCGATCCTTTGTGAGAGGATTATTATTCTTTGTTAATCAACTCTTCCTGCTTTGATTATTGATTCTAATATCTAATTCGTTTGATTACAGATTTACAGGAATATTTATTCAATACTCTATCAGGTACATCTCAGTACCTTTAGTCAGGGAACATAATTGTAATCAATTGAAATGATATTGTATGATAAGGTACAGTTTTCATTTATCAAGGTACAACCAACGTAAATGTTCCCTCAAAGGTACAACAGTGGTTTTAAGGTCTGATTGTGAACCTTAAATAAGTTTTTCCAGGTGAAAAGTTCGTATTTCTACCTTTTCATAACCGAATGTTTTAAAACAGAACAGTAAAATAAAGTCCTGGAGACGAGACGGGGTGTGTGGAGTCAGTACAGCTTAGAACATATAATTTCAGTGGATTATGGTTCAGTTATGTTCCCTAACTAAAGGTACTGAGATGGACCCTTGAGGGTACCACCCCAGTGACAAGAGGGGAACTGCCCCAGTGACAGTTTAGTACCTTTATTTCTGAGAGTGTCGAGAAGTAGTTAAGCTCTCTTAGCCAATAAAGTTATGACCTTCTGGGTTTCATAAAAGTCTCCTCTGTATAAATATATAAGAGACTCCTCTTATGTATTATTTTGATTATTTCTCCTTCATAGACCTTAAGTTTTATCTAAAGGAAGCTTAGAACTTGAGCTGTAGTTGCATATACTCATTTTCATGTCAACCAAGTTTGTATTCATGTAGCAGCACTTAAATAGGAATTCCATCAATTTTAATTTTTCTTTTTTTATGTAAATTAAAAGCTTGAGATGTAAACGGGGTCATTCAGGGCGGTTGGATGTGAAATGGTTGATTGTAGAGAAACTGATTTCTTTACAGTGGTGGTGATAAGAAATGACCAGTGGACCTACACGTGTCTTCTGACTTTTTATATGTAACGTTCATGGTATGATGGTAAATAGTGCTAAATCTAAAAATTTCCTTGGGGCCTGTTTTGCCTGACAACACCCTGCATGTAACCCTCCACCATGAATGTATTTTATGTCAAAATCTTCTCAAAACAGTGTCTCAGTCATCAGGCAGTGAATTCATAACCATTTCATGTAGTAACTCTCTGTGAGGGAGCTTTTAGAGGTGGACGTCTGGTTCCTATCACCACCACTGTGAACAGTTCTGACTCGGTAAGTTTCTCTAGAACAGAGCGTTTCACACCAAACCACTCTGAACGACTCTGTTTACATCTCAACCATTTAATTATGCAGAATTTTTTAACAATTTGTGGAATTCCTCTTAAATGCTTATGATGTCTGGACAGAGTTTGTGTCATGTGCTTTGGCTTGCATGTCGGAGGGGAGAGGGGGGTGCACGCCTGGCAGGCTGTCTTCCTGTGGGGCTTAACTGTTGACCCTTTGTTATGTCTCCCCGGGGCCGGTAGCTGCAGTGATTGGTCCACGCGGGAGATGATTTCAAAACCTACAGCTCAAAGTTTAACTCACGCCAGGGAGTGTCTGCGAGTGGACACGTCTGGAAAGACACGTTTAGACAGCAGTAAAACTTTCAGTAGAAGTCCGAAACTCATGGGAAGAAAAGACGTATTTAGAGTTTTGGCTGTAAAGCAATGTAGTAATTTGGGGTTGCTGTGACGCAAAGACGCAAAGATATCACGTTCCACCATTGAAATCCTTGTAATCCTCGAAACCTCATAGGAACAGACCTAAAAACAATTGTACTCCTCCCAGCCCATTTTTAGACTTGCACAACATAACATGCACTACCAGTCACAAGTCTGGAATCAATTTTTGCAAAAATAAGCTGATAAATGTATAAAATGATTCTAATATCATGGCTGTCCAGTTTTTAATGATTTGTATTTTTCTACATAATTTTAATACAGCAATCGTCATTTACATTGTGTGAAAATGTCATGATAAATGAGCCAATAGAAAGGCTCCAAATTGCTTAAATACAAATCTCTTTACATTAATGTCTATTAAAAGTTGAGAACATTTTCATCTTCTCCTGTAAAGTTTACTTTTTTTGTAGATAGATGTTTTGTTAATCTTCACAAATGTATATATAACTACAAATAATTAGCAGAAACCCATAAATAAATAAATATGTTATAGTAAATGTTTGACATGTCCGGAATGATCAACAATTCCATAATGCCTTTCATTTCAAAAGTGGCAATCACATCCCGGCACAGATAACTTAAAATATATAAATATCAGAAATAAATAGATAATAAAATAAGAAATATATAACTACATTATATAATTTTTCCTTGACTCTCAAAAACTGTGCCCCAAAGTGTTCTTTGAGTGTATGACAGAGAAGAACCCCTTTGCTTCCCAAACAGAACCTTTTAAAGGTTCCTAAGAAACTGCACATAATGTAATAGTTCTTTACCAGTTAAGCGTTTCTTTCTAGAACCTTTAGGTTTTGTTAAGCTTCACATTCATATGTCTCATTTGCAAAAGTGGTTGCTGAAAAGCTGAAAGGTTCTTTAGGGAACCAAAAATGTTTTTTTCTTTAAAAGTTGAATAACTTTTTGCCAAAATACTTAAAATATTTCATATGAAATCTAAAAATACCCTTTGTTGTTTAGTTTATAAGACCTAAATCTGCAGTGTACAGTTATATTGTATGGAAAATAACACAAATTTTTACATGAACAGGCATCAACCAAACTTTTGAACATATGAACAGATCAAGATTTTCCTTTTCAACATTTGAAATCTGTTGTTGTAGTTTTCTTTGTAAACATCTTGATGTTCCTAAAGATACTTTTCGTTCTTTTGCTGTTTTGACCCTTGACACATTTGTTAGCATTTTTTGCAGACGCAACGTTTTAAAACATTGAATCATTCGGTTTTTCCCGGACAGAACTTTTTGTCACATGTGCACGTGGGAGGTTTGCATTATCAACCCACAATGTTAGCCGAATACTAGGAAAACCACTATTAGTCCATTAGTCCAAGTTCTGAAATTAGCTGCAGCTTTACCTAGCTGGCTCCAATGCGGACATTGTTTTGCTAATCTTTTGGCACCCTTAGCGTGTCAAGAGCAAATCTTGTTTCTTCACTTTTCTATAAGACCCAGCACGTGTCAGACACTCCCCCACCCCCCCCACCTGAGCTCCAGATTGAGTAGCAAGATAATATTGTTGGTGAAATTGTGGAATTCAGCCACGGCCCAGCTGAGGGTTACATAAGCGCCCTGGGCTTCGGGAACCTGCAGAACTGTGACTTCCTGAGCAGACAGAGAGAGAGAGAGAGAGAGAGAGAGAGAGAGAGAGAGAGAGAGAGAGAGAGAGAGAGACGTAGGGGTAGAGAGTGGAGGCAAGAGAAGGGGGATAGTTGTGTAGCAGTCAAGACTAAGATTTAGTGACAGGGCTGAAAGTCCAAGGTTTCAAGGCTGGGGGAGGAGGAAGGAGGACGTCTACCGTTTGGAATGAAAATTGGTAGACAGTCAGTAAGCAACAAGAACTTACAGAAGGAACCACAGAAACGTTGGACAGACCTTCTTTATTCAAGGCAAGGGAGACCCAGAAGCAAAGACCAGCGAAAGGACTTCCAAACAGTGACTGTACAATGGAGGAAGAACCCCAGAGTTATGAAGAGGCCATTAACAGGGCAGCCGGGGCACTCACTCGTTTTCCTTTGATCGAGGTGCAAGGTGTACCTCTCATGAACCTCATCGCTGAGAAGTGGAGCTCCATCTGGTCTTTCCAGCCAGATCCGTCTGACCTGCTCATCGCCACCTACCCCAAAGCAGGTAAGAACATCCAGCGGTTACTCACCTGTTTCAGAGCCGGTTTTATTACCTGTTACTGTATATGTGGCAATACATACACTGTATGACCAGATATATGTAGACACCCTACATAGTGAATTCATCTACTTTAAGGCACCCATTGGTTCAGTTGGGCATGTGCAGTTTGTATAACCTTCATAGAAAAGCATTGCCAATAGAATGGGACACTCTGGAGCAGCTGCACATGAGGTCACCATGTCCAATGCCAAGCATGGGCTAAAGGGGTATAAAGCCCCCCCATCACTGTACTATTAAGCAGTGAAACTGTGTTCTCTGGAGTGATGAAGCTCAATTCAGTAACTTTGGGATGAACTGGAGTGATCGAGAACTGACCATCCAACATCTCTCTAGTGCACTTGTGGCTAAATACAATCAAATCCTCAGAGCAACGGTCCAACATCTAGAGTAAAGCCTTCCCAGAGAAGTAGAGGCTGTTACCGCAGCAAAGAGGGGGCAAACTCCCTATTAGTACCTTGATTTCAGAAGAAACATTAGATGATCAGGTGTCTGCAAACCACTTTATGCTCTTGATGTCAGTTGGATCATTTTAACTAACGCTAAACCTAACTTGAGTTCAGTTGGCCAAAGTATTCACAGATCTAATAAGAGCCAAAATTGGGTGGGGTGCAAGTATTTATTTTCAACATATCTTCAGTGTGTCAGCTAACGTTTCAGATTTCCATTCAAATTTCAGTAATAAGTATTAAGTGTGGATCCTGATCTGCTTTCACATCCGTTCTTGCTGGTTAAACCTGGACGTTTAAAAGGAAATATGAGCTTAACATGTTATGCAGTTTTTTTATTGAGCTTTGTGTCATCAGTCTGACAGAATTAAGCTTTTTGTGTATCCGTCCATCATTGTTCTCTCACCTCACTACAATACCCAGGACGCACTGTGCAAACATGTCATACAACCAATTAGAATATCCCCCATCAACCTTTGCTATCTGTACAAGCTTGTGGAAAAAAGTTTTCTAAAAGTTCCTTCCACTTTCAAGATACATCATCAGAATGGGGTTTTTCTAGTCTGCATAACCAGAAAACCTCGCTTTAGGGACGACTGTGACGCCACTGTATGTGGCGGATAAATACATTTACAATAGATGAAGTTATGGTTACACTTTCATTTTTATTAGACTTTAACATTCCTGAGTCTGCTGTAATGCAAGACTTTGACATGGAAAAAGCCTCAAGCATGTAGTCATTTATGTATGGTCTAAGGTATTTCCCACATGGGGAATATGTTGCTAAGTTGGCAGTGAGATTACTGGCCCCATTCTAAACACTGTTTGCTTTCAGAGGTTTTTTAATGTTTAACTCTATGTCAACAAAAAGCCCATTTCAAGAAACCCCTCTGAAAATTACCCCAGACCTGGTTTTCTAAAAAAAATAAAATTATGTTGATTTTGATGCATTCTGCCTTCTTAGTAGTGATTAAGTTCATTTTAGGCATCAAAACTCTTTAAAAATTGACTTTTTTCTTTGGTGATTTTTGACAAAATAAGTCCTTAACTTTCAGAAATTTTATTTTACCCCCTCAGGCTGTCCAATCAGATATGACCTTTGTTTTTGCAACCTTGTTACCAATTTTTTGGAGATGTTTAAATGGCATTTATAGATATACCGATATTAATTGTTTTTTTTATAGATATACCGATATTTATTAAATGCTTTTAGAACTGTTCAAATAAATTAAAAAAAATCCAAAGTTTTCTTGTGGTTTCCATATTTCTCCTATATATTTCTTCAAAGCCTTTGAAAAAAGAGAATTTCTTTCTCTCTAAACAAAAATGTCAATTTTTTCTTGCATTAGTAATTTTAACTAATGATTCTCATTAACAAATTGAAACTTTTGGTAACGAAACCTACCGAATTGACACTTTTGGTTACATAAGCTGTCAATTTTTTTCCCCCTTTAATGATTGTCTAATTAATTATTTGTTTATTTATTTTTAGACAATCATGTTCTGTTCTCACATTATTTTCATTAATTTTTCTTATGTTATTGACAACTTTTATTTTGAAGTGGATTCCCTTTGTTGCTTTTTTGTGTAATAATTGATATTGAAGAGTGTATAGATAGAATTTGCATTCTTGTAGTTTTTTTTTCATGGAAACATTGTAATACTGTTACAAAATAAATAAAAAACTAAGTTACTGACACTTTTGGTAACATAACCTACCAAACTGACACTTTTGGTAACATAACCTACCAAACTGACACTTTTGGTAACATAACTTACCAAACTGACACTTTTGGTAAGATAATCTACCAAACTAACACTGTTGGTAACATAACCTAAGACTATTTTTACCAAAAATGGCTGAACACAGAGATCGTATTCCCCTTTATGGTCACATTAATGCAGTAAAAAACAAAGTATACAAATAGACCAGAAGAAAAAGTTTAAACATTGTCTTAATCAAATGGTTTCATTAAAATCTTATTTTAAAGTCATTCAAAATAATTGAAGTTTAAAAATGTTACCCATTGTTAACCAGGGTTGCAAATTTAGCCTAAAATAAGCAGCACTCAGGAGCGGTTAGCTTGACAGGGTGCACATATTGCATGCTAACTACCAATAACCATATAGTTTCTTCTTAAGGGTTCATGACAATGGCAGTCCTTGTCACAGCCATGCTTAAGCATTTTCATTCCAGGCCACAACACTCTTATAAAACTCATAGAGGTCGTTTAATATTTAACTTTTGTGTAAGGTAAGTAACCTGCAGCCACGGGTAGCATAACCTTAGGCATTGTAGTAAACACTGTACATTTGCCAGCAGGTTGTTTAGTAATCCCAAAGCCTCATCTTCATAAAGGTGAACACAGATTAAATCTAAAGATGCTGTACTGCCAACATTTTAAAGTCTCAGGTAAGTTTACCTCCACTAATAACTACTGAGACATTACATTCTCTGTGTGTTGCATGATTATTAATTAAATTAATAAAGTTCTATTGATATCAAGCAGCATTATCCTCTTTATGATCTTCGTGAGCTATTTCAAAAAGTCCTTAGCTGTCTTACTGACTCACTGAGCACTTTACTAGGTATGCCTACCTTGTTTCTACACTCATTGTCCATTTTATCAGCTCCACTGACCATATAGGAGCACTTTGTAATTCTACAGTTACAGACTGTAGTCCATCTGTTTCTCTGCATACATTGTCACCCTGTTCTTCAGTGGTCAGGACCCCCACAGAGCAGGTATTATTGGGTGGTGGGTCATTCTCAGCACTGCTGTGACACTGATGTGGTGGTGGTGTGTTAGTGTGTGTTGCTGCTGGAGTTTTTAAACACTGTGTCCACTCACTGTCCACTCTATTAGACGCTCCTACTTTGTCAGTCCACCTTGTAGATGTAAAGTCAGAGACGATAGCTCATCTGCTGCTGCACGGTTTGCGTTGGTCATCTAGTCCTTCATCAGTGGTCACAGGACGCTGTTGGCTGGATGTTTTAGTTCTCAGTCCAGCAGCGACACTGAGGTGTTTAAAAACTCCAGCAGCTCTGCTGTGTCTGATCCACTCACACCAGCGCAACACACGCTAACACACCACCACCACATCAGATATATTGGTTGTAGTCCTCACATTAGCCTACTTTAAAATATTGGACTGTGATAGATTTGAAGTTACTCGCAAAGTACAGAACTAAGTCGCTAACACCTCCTTTTAATGGAAGTAATGAGAAAGCCAGTGTTTTCAATGGAAAAATGTGAAGTCTATCCTAACAAAAAACCAATATATAATCATAATATACCATACTAGAGGAGTTAAGGGGGTCTTTAAAATGAGCTGGTTTTATTTGAAGCATCAATCAAAAAGTAGGCTCCAACTCCTCAGACACAGGCCGAAATACACAGCTAACATCACACAGTGTGAGTGAGTGCCATTTCACGACAGATTTGTTACAGCATTTGATTGGATTCTTTCGTTTTTTTCTTCTATATCCAATCTAGCATTTTTTTTGACTTTGCCTCATACTGATATAGATACACAGTATCGGACTGGTGTCATCTCTACTGTAAATGAACTGTTTTAATAACTAAAACAGGTGTTTTGTTATTATTTGCTGTGCTTCAGGCACCACCTGGACCCAAGAGATAGTGGACTTGCTACTGCACAATGGAGATGCAAAGGCTTGTATGAGAGCTCCTACTGTTGAGCGTATCCCCTTCTTGGAGATCCAAGCTCCTCCACCTATTCCGTCAGGTATGGATTCACTTTACTTACCATCATACAAATTATGGAGAGGAATTCATGTGAAAAATTCCTGTCTGTAATTGTTTCAATGTAGTTATGTTGTAACTGAAGTTTGGGGAGGAGGAACGTGCCTGGACCCCCTCCTTCTTCCAATCTAACTCCCTATAAATCCACATCCTCACCTTCCGTTCCCGTGATGAAAGGGGTTCGCAATCCCCATCGCCACCCCATCTCCTCCCTGTTCCTCAGTCCTGCATCAGTCCGTCTACAGCTATGAGGGGTCCGGCCTTCTAGCTACAGGCAGAAGCTGCCCAGAACTCCAGCCCAAGTTATCAGAGTTCTCCCCCTCCCTCAATCAGTCTTCCCTCATACTACCACCACCATGTTGAAAGCATGGTCTGAACTCACAGATTGCTATTGTTTACATGACCATTTGAATAATCAGATAACGGCAGAAATCTGATTATGATTGGATTATTGAGTGCATGTAAACACACACAATGTTAAGCACAGGGAGATGCAGCCCACTTAGGTGATAACAGGACGTAGGAGTGTCATGTAGGGTTTTATTAGTGCGCTCGCTAAATTACAATAAGAATCTAAAACTAACCGGACCAAATGTATACAATGTAACAAAAACATGAACCTTGGTTCGGACCTTGAGCCGGACTTTCCGGTGTAAAACACCCTAAATGTAATTCATTACTTTTCACCGCTGCTTACTTTATTCCTGACCTTTCCTTGTTTGACCAGCTTGAGTAGCTGTCTTTAAATAGTTTAAATGTAAAAAATTGTGTCACATGGTCTCATCTCACTCAGACCACTGAAGATACTCACACACTCCCTCCTGTCTGTCTCTGTTTAGTTGTTAGCTGGAACTAACCAGTGAGAAATATACTACACAATAGTAGCACTGAGGTCTGTTTGACATCTGGCACATATGATTTTTCTCCACTCGTTTCTCAGGCCTTGAACTGCTCAGTTCCATGAAACCTCCCAGGGTCATCAAGACACACCTGCCCATCCAGCTTGTGCCTGAGGGATTCTGGACAAATAAATGCAAGGTCAGTGTAAATGTTCAAGCTGTGTATGTTTTAGAGCTAATATGACACTTTTTTGGGAGAATTCCATTGATAATTGCATAAGGTGTTCCGTACCAAGCAAAAATGAAGACTTTCCTATGAGGACTTTGGTTAATGCTGGCCTTAAAGTGATATTTTGGCAAAAAATAAATGTACACAGTTTTTCCCGACACCAAATGTACTCAGTCAGTCAAAACACGTTTACTTCCTTAGTTTTGCACTGGAGCTACGAGGCTAATGTAGTCAACAAGTAATGGAAGCGTGTACCAATTAGCATTGTGGCTAAATCATCAAACACAATGACTCAAACCGTATTAAGTCATCTCAAATTGATCTAATCCTGTGGTTTCTGAGGCCTGATTCCACAGCAGTGATGCTACTTTTTACATCATCTACTAATTTATGGAAGCCCATTTTGGCTGGGTAGAGGAGAAAAAAACACATGTATTTCTGTCAGCAGTATGACAAAATTTTGACTTAGCATCTATAATGATGTATTTCCCCAAAATGATTTTCTCAAAATATTGACGATATTTTGTATTTTGTGTACTATTTTATTAATAGTGTGCAATAGTGCTAACTTATTTTCTCTGAATATTGATTTACTTAACGTATCAAAATACTGACTTAGAGTATCAAAATGACGTATTTAGTGTGTTAAACTAATGATTTGAGAAAGTTGCTGAAAGTTGCTGAAGTTACTGATGTCTTTACAGTGGTGGTGATAGGAACCAGGGGTCACCATGACTACAACACAGATTTAGACATTTTATTTACTATCCAGAACCACCAGTGCACAAACTATCATAAAGCAAGGTGTCAATGTGACAGGCAGTTTGTATCTAACCATTTCATGTAATAACATTGTTATTATTGTATAGTAAAACATCAGTGATGCAACTTCAGAGGTCCTTGATGACGGCAGCCAGGCTGAGAACATCTCAGAAAATTCTTCATTACAGGACGTTCCCATCACTGAGTCCCTCTTCTTGGTTTCTCAGGTCATTTATGTGGCTCGGAACGCTAAAGACAACCTGGTCAGCTACTACCACTTTGACCGCATGAACCTGACTCAGCCAGAACCAGGTCCCTGGGATGAGTACATCCATAAGTTCATGAGGGGAAAATGTAAGAGTGAAAAAAATACATTCTTAAAAAAGATTGTTTTTCAAGGTTCTTTAGTAAAGACAGTGGTTCTCTGTAGAACCATAAACACTCAGAGAACCATTTGCATGCTTAAAGGGTTCTTTGCATGGTGAAATGGTACAACACATTGATGGCGAATGTGTTGCACGTGGTTCTATATAGAACCTTTTTGAAAAGGCTTCTATATCGCATCTAGAAGCGTTCTTCTATTGTTACAAGCTTGACATCATAACAATAAAAGAACCATTTTGTGTGCTATATAGAACCATACACTTTTTCTTTAGTAAAGAGAATAGTTCTGTATAGAACCATGAACCATTAAAGAACCTTTTGCATTATTAAAGGGTTCTTTGCATCATAAAGCGTTCTTCAGATTGATGTAGAATGTGTTGTATATGGTTCTATAAAGCATCCAAAAGGGTTCTTCCATTGTTACAAGCTTGACATTGTAACGATTGAACAACCCTTTTTCGGTGCTATATAAAACTGTACACTCTTAAAAAGATGGTTCTTTACGGGTTCTTTAGTAAAGAAACTGGTCCTATATAGAACTATGAACATTGAAAGAACCCTTTGCATTATTAAAGGGTTCTTTGCCTCATGAAACGTTCTTCAGATTGATGTAGAATGTGTTGTATATGGTTCTATGTAGAAACGTTTTGGAAGGCGTTCTATATAGCACAGAAAACGGTTCTTCTATTGTTACAAGCTTGACATCGTATCAGTAGAAGAGCCCATTTGGGTGCTATATAGAGTGCTTTTTGAAATAGTTCTACATAGAACCATATACAACACATTCTCCATCAATCTGAAGAACCCTTTTGTGATGCAAAGGGTTCTTTGACTGTTCATGGTTCTATATAGAACCATTATCTTTACTAAAGATCTGTTGACGAACCATCTTTTTAAAGAGTGCACTAACAATAATCTGATGGATCCTTTGTTCTTCAAGCTGTATACATGATTATAGCACTGATTAGTTATAACTGTTTCCTAAAACTCAGCTGTTCTTTTCTGACCTGTCCACAGTGGCGTGGGGCTCTTGGTATGACCATGTGAAAGGTTACTGGAGGGAAAGAGAGAAGAGGAATATCCTTTACCTTTTCTTTGAGGACATGAAGGAGGTACAGTGTGGGTGCATTTAGAGGTTTCTTAATCATTAATGCTACATTGCAACTCTGGTATCTGGGCTGTTAGGCCTTCAATTCATAATTCATGCTTTTTCCAACTCGAGGACCCTCGTCGGGAGGTGGAGCGGATCATGCGCTACATGGACTTGTCGGTAACCGATGATGTCATTGACAAAATTGTGCAGCTGACGTCTTTCAAAGTCATGAAGGACAATCCGATGGCCAACTACACGTTCCTCCCAAAGGTAGTGTTTGACCACTCCATCTCTGCGTTCATGAGAAAAGGTTTGTAAGTCTTGTTTTAATTCCACCTAACCTGGTTCTCCCAACGTTGAAAGCTACAGACGGGTGACAAATTAAAGGAAAAACCAACATAAAGTGTCTTAGTAAGATGTTGGGCCACCATGAGCCACCATTCAGCAAGTGTCTGGAACTTTACTGGAAGGAAGGAACACCGTTCTTCAGAAACATATTCCCTCAAATGTTGTTTTGATGATGGTGGTGCAAAGCACTGGACCAAAATCTTCCATAGGTGTTGAGCTCGGTTGAGCTCTGGTGACTGCGAAGACATCGATTAACATCATCATACAGTGTTAAAAATTAAACTTAAAATTATAAAGTAACTGATTACACAGCTTTTCTTGAGTTAACCCAACTTGAGGACACTACAGTTCACCCACTCAAACATCTGAGTCAAAAGTTCTCTAAACTTTTTAGCTCTGCTTCTCAGTTTGGTAAATAATATAACATTTGTTTTTCCTTTTAAAATTTCCTGGCTGGAACTCTTTCCATCAAACAATCCCACCAGACACTTTCTCATTTATTCAGGTTTATCCTTTCATTTGTCACCCGTCTGTATGTCTGTAGCATTTGACTTGAGAATTATGAGAAAATCAAGCGTACAGATAACTTGATCAGCTTCATGTGGATGTTTAATTCTGCTCAATGTCTTCGTTTCAGGGGAGGTTGGAGACTGGACCAACCATTTCACTCCAGCTCAATCCCAAATGTTTGATGAGGACTACGCCAGACAAATGGCAGACGTGGACATTCCCTTTCGCACCAGCATATAAGCATTTACTCCTACGAGAACCTGTCGAAGCAGCACCTCAGCAAGCACTGGAGCATCTCTGGAACTGTGATCCTAGCAAGCATGGACACACCAAGGACACACACAGGCTGCATCTGTATCACAATCTGTTTTTTGAAAAAGTTTTCAGATATTTGATTGATCTTGAAAACCAAACAGTGATTCCTGGGTGGAGGTTTAGCCTTTCTTTTATATCAATAACAAAATGTATCTACAAGCCAATAAGCCAATGTAGCTTTTAGACCCACCACCCACTTTATTAGAAACCTTTAACCTGTAGCTCCACCTTGCTGCTGCAAAGTTAGAGTGTTTTTCCACTTCATATTCAAAAACAAGACCCAATAGAGAACCTATGTAACTTACGGCTTCCTCAGTAGCTAATTAGCTTCTTTTCTTGCTGGTTAGCTTAACTTACGGGTGAGTATGAAGTTACACCATGTCAAGTGCAAGTTTCCCAACTAGCTTATGTCACCTTAGATCAGTTCCCAGCTCTGGTCCTGGAGGACCCCCTGCACTGCACTTCTTAGTGTTTGCCCTGCTCCCAACTAATCCAACTAAACGGTTAATTAGCAAGCCCTTCCTGAGTTGAAATGGGTGTGTTAAAGTAGGAAAACACAAAAATATGCAGGGCAGGGGTCCTCCAAGACCAGGGATGGGAACTGCCTTATAGAACTCCTTACAAAGTAATATTTCTAGAAATATTTGTTGACACTTCAGCATGCAATATTAGTTTGCACTTATTGATCATTTAATATTGCTTGGTGACTTTACCTGGAAGAGTTAAGAATTTGCTAAATTTGCTTGTCTTTTAACACAAAGGAGAACTCCCTTAAGCGCCATTAGGTCCAGCTGATAGCTGTCTCGAGCAGGTACCAAAAAAAAATAAACTGGAACCCTCGGTAGTTGACCAGTGGGCAGTGGAGAAAGCACAGCTCCAGTTTTCTGGTGCCAAAGATTCTGGTACTATGTACTATGTGGAAACACACCCTTAGATACTGTAGCCAAGGGGTGCCCAATCCTGGGCCTGGAGATCTACCACCCTGGAGAGGTCTGATCCAAGACATCTGGCTCTAATATTCAGATGCCCCTGAAGACCTTCATTACCTGGATCAGGTGTCCTAAACTCTGCAGAGTGGTAGATCACCAGGACCACGATTGAGCACCTCTACCGTAGTCCATCTGCTGATGCACAGTTTGTGCTGTCCATCCTCCTCTAGCCCTTCATCAAATGTCAGTTTCTGACCACAGAACTTGAACACACCTGGTGATTAACTGGTGAACTGAATCAGGTGTGTTTTGGCAAAGAAATCACTAAACTGTGCTGGTGTCTGGCCATCCAGGACCAGATCTGATGACCTCTGGGGTGATTGGGTATGATGGGGTGATTGGGTATGATGGGGTGAGGTGGGGTGAGTGACAAATTAAGGTGGAGTCTGTTATTGTACACATTTATAGTGGACCCATAAGACAGGTGGGCCTTATAAAGTGTGCAGACAGTGGAGATACGTGACAGGGGTTTCTAAAGGGGATGGTGGGTGTATTTTTATATTTGTAATACTTATAAACAATTTTCTAGAATGTAAAATAATATCTAATCAAGGTTTGCTGGCGCACGGCACATATGAAGCAAAAAAAATCTTCCAATTCAAACAAAACCAAAGCACTGACATTTCTCCTGAAACACCAAAGAAAGTAGCATATCTGCCATCATCAATCTGTGGGTGCAGACCATGTCTTCACTTCATCGATTGTGGTTGGAGGAGTGAATGCCAATCTGTAGGAAAGGAAAACATCTGGGGATACTCGGACTGGAGTGGCTTGGATCCCCCTTGCAGATGACGGAGTGGTGGAGTCATACATGGAAAGGAAACCATGAGTGAGAGCCATAGTTGCGGTTGGGAGTTTCGGATGTGGTCTTATTCTTTTTTAACCAGACTTTAGTTACTGCATCTGAACTCCATTCGATTGTGTTCCATCAATTTGCTGAATGAATGACCAAAACAGTGGATTAATAAACAGTTACAGTTCATAAGAGTGCAGCGACTTTTTTGTGACTTGAATGTGCAGCAGTGAACTCATCTGTCTAACTTCCGTCATTTAAAAACCTGGGGAAGTGTTGGGGGATGATGACCTGACGTCATGCTCTAAAAGCTCATTTATACTCTCTTTACGTAGAAAAAGGACAAACTATGTAACCATCACTGCCCGCATACTTCCATTGTCCTTTATGTTGGCATGGATGTTAAACAGTACATCCACTAGAGGGCAGTCCAGAGTAAAACGTTTCTGACAACGATATGAATGCAGAGTACAAAAGTCTCCGTCCGTATTTGTGTCCATATTTAACGTTGAGCATGAATGAGCCTTAACACTGAAGAATAAAAGAGGGAAATGTGTAGCGGGCCTTTTCATGATCACAGGCCTACTCAATCAAATGGGGGATGAAGCCAAAAACTATTGTTGTCAGTTTTCTGTTGTCATCAGTTTTACTACAAAGGCTGAATACAGCGATGAGGCATAACATTATGACCACCTCCTTGTTTCTACACTCATTGTCCATTTTATCATCTCCACTTACTATATAGGTGCACTTTGTAGTTCTACAGTTACAGACTGTAGTCCATCTGTTTCTCTGCATACTTTGTTAGCCCCCTTTTACCCTGTTCTTCAGTGGTCAGAACCACTCAGACCAGCACAACACACACTAACACACCACCACCATGTCAGTGTTACTGCAGTGCTGAGAATGATCCACCACCCAAATAGTACCTGCTCTGTGAGGGTCCATGGGGGTCCTGACCACTGAAGAACTGGGTAAAAGGAGGATGTTCATTCATCTTCTAAGCCGCTTATCCTCCTGGGTTGCTGGAGCCTATCCTGGCGCTCACAGGGCAGAAAAGAGGAAACACCCTGGACAGGTCAGCAGTCCATCACAGGGCAGACAAACAGACATACACAATCACACCTAGGGACAATTCAGCATCTCCAGTTTGCTTGACTGCATGTCTTTGGAGTGTGAGAGGAAACCCACTCAGACACGGGGGGAATGTGCAAACTCCACACAGAAGGGACCCTCGTCACCCGGCCGGGGAATCAAACCCAGGCCCTTCATGCTGTGAGGTGACAGTGCTACCCACTGCACCATTAAACTGTCATGTGCTCATGTTGTGATAAGTTCTGCTGAGGGAAATGATGCAAGCGGCCCATGCATAAGGTTCTCTGTTGTTTGCGACATCACCTGTCTAGGGTGTGGACTTTGAGCAATGAGGCCAGGAGTGGGAGATATATAAACCTTGTGTCCTTGTGAATAAAGCTGAGTCTGTAAATTTCTCTTGTCTGTGTTTGACTAATTCCTTAAGCTTCGTTCTGCAGAAGTCTCCAGACCTGAGGCAGCAAGCGAATAGGAGAAGAGTTTGAAAAGATACTCGACTTACACTCAGTCACGTGTGGTAGGAGCACTGAGTAGTTAGTAAGTGTAGGAGGTGAAAAGACTGATTGCAGATGGATAAATCTCAAGAAAAAATATGCCATGAACCAGACGCAGGACCAGAGAAAGGCCTACATGAGGATGGTATAGGCTCTAAGTGTAAGACGGAGGAGGAACCCCTGGGTTATGAAGAGAGTATAAACAGGGCAGCCGGAAATATCCGGCGTTTTCCTCTGATTGAAATGCAGGGTGTCCCCCTGAGGAACTACATCGTCCAGAAGTGGAGCTCCATCTCGGCTTTCTGCCCGGATCCCTCCGACATGCTCATTGCCACCTACCCCAAAGCAGGTAAGAACATCCGGCAGTTTGGCACTAGGCAAAAGTAGGCCGCTGTCCAGGGACCCCATGAAAATACACATTAGATCTACTGTGTGTTGATATTAAATAATCAGTTCTGAAATATATACGTTGCAATTGTAGTGGTTATTTTCAATCATTTCAACGCAGCCCACCCCTTGGTCATGGTTATAATGACTATTCTATGCTGTTACATGATGACAAAACTATGTGAAAACTGTTACGAAAAAAGGCAATTAAGGGATAATCTACATTTTGGAGAGGTGTAATTTTCTGGGCGTTCAGAGAGAAAATCAATCAAGTTATATAACTTGTTCTATTTACAGAGAATATGGAGTCTAGACCAGTTACAGAGAACCTGTTAACAGCAGCCAGTCTCACATTATTATAAAAAACATTATAACATTATCTTTATCAGCCTTTATCAGCCTTCAAACTGACTAACCTTTGCATATCAGTATCTTTTGCTTGTAACAACAGCACTTTTCTTTGGTGGACAACTTGAAAAATTAAGCTAAACTTTAAACTTTTTTAGTTCTTGAGATAAAATATAAAACAACAAATATAGTGTTTATCATAGATGTACATGCCTAAATGCCTTGTTGTGTCCAGCCAGGCACATCAACAATGCCGCCATTTTGGGGCGGTCAACATCGCTGCTGGGCTGCATTCAGTACCATTACAAAGCGGCAGTTTAAGAAAGATACTGTCCAAAATTACACTATTTCAGGAATACTGCACTCAGAAAGTGGGATAGGATTATATAACGGAGGGAACGCAGTGATCCACACTCATGTCTGTGTGATGCGTATTGTTTGTGTGGTGTTTATGTAGATATGGTCGTGTGGTTAGTGAGGCACAGAGAACCTGTTGATGTGATTGTTCTTCTCTGGTTTTATATGAAGCTTATTTTATTTAATAGTCTATTCAGGGGGTCTTCACTTTATGTAGTAGTTATTTATTTACAGTGATGGTTAAAGCTTTGTAGCCTTAAGTTACAGCATTCCTTAATCTTGTAGATATTCATAATAGATTAGCGTTAGCACCTTCTTACACAAACCTGAAGTTAGTTTCTTGTTTGCCAGCTTCTTGTTCGAATTTTCCTGTTCCACCTTAAATGGTCCATTTAAGGTGGAACGGGAAAACTCGAACAAGAAGCTGGCGAAGTGGGAGCTAACTTTAGCTTCGTCCTTCTTACTGTGTTTTGGGGGCTTTATTTTATTTTAATGTGTATTAAGATATCTGGATGGCTAATTAGCACGATCACCGTTAGTAAATAGTAATAAAAGCTAGATTAATCTTCTGTCTGAAGATTAATCTTCAGTTTAATACAGATCAAACAGAATTTACTAATCACAAGGAAGCGGTAGCTCCGCCTCTCGGCCAGACAAAACTACAAAGTTTAAGCCAAAATTTAATGCTCCTGTTCTTTTTGGGCTCGTCTTGAGTTTTGTCTGAAGTTATCTAGCTAGCTTTGAGAGATCTTTACTGTAAATGGAAGTGTAATCAATAAAGCATTTCACTGTCTTAATCACTGTTTGCTGTGCTTAGGCACCACATGGACCCAGAGATAGTGGATTTGCTGCTGCACAATGGAGATGAGGAGGCTTGTAAGAGAGCTTCTACTTCTGATCGCTTCCCTTTCTTGGAGATCCAATACCCCCCACCTATTCCATCAGGTAAGGTGGTTCCAAAACGCACTTCATCATATTCTTCATAACTTTCATATTTCATAAGCTACATTCAAAAGCTGGGTGTCATATAAGAGCTGTAACTGTCTTCTTTCCAGTCAAATAGATGGGTGATGTAATTTTATAATAAAACCCATTTTTCCACAAATCTGGGCTATAAATTATAAACAGATGGCGTCTCTTCAGTGATCTGCTCTGTAAACAAGAGTGTCTAAGATTTTTGGCTTTCAGCAGTAAATTGTAAGCATATAGCAATATGTGTGATCATAAAACACATGTTCTGTTAATTTGAGGGGAGCTTTTACAAAAAATGCATAAATAAAAAGAAACATTTACATTTATTTCATGCAGTTACTGAATAATTAGCCTTATGATTTGGTCACGTAAATTCAGATGGAAAAACCAAGAGGTTAAGTGACTTATATACACTCTCAATTTGAACTTTGGAGTGGGGTCTTGTCAGCATTTTGTTACCTTACAAAGCTTGTCCCCTGCGCTTTGTTCTGGCTTTTACATGTGCTGAAAAAAGTCTGGATATTTGAACGATCCTGCTAGGTCTGCTCTGTGCCCGTTAATTTACTCCCTCTGCTTGTTTGACTGCGTCCCTGCCTGCTATACTTAATAAAGACCGTAGTTGTACCCAGTCTTCTTCCACTGGGCTCAGTGTCTTTGTCTCTAGTTTGTCAACCCAAGTCTGATATTTACCTGTTATTGTGATATTTACACCAACTGGCCACTTCATTAAATACACCTCCTTGTTTCTGCATTTAGCGCTGTCGCCTCGCAGCAAGAAGGGCCTGGGTTCGATTCCGGCTAGGCAACCTGGGGCCTTTCTGTGTGGAGTTTGCATGTTCTCCCTGTGTCTGTGTGGGTTTCCTCTGGGTGCTTCAGTTTCCTCCCACTGTCCAAAGACATGCAGTCAGGCTGACTGGACACGCTGTATTGCTCCGAGGTGTGAATGTGTGTGTGATTATATATGTTTGCGTGTCTGTCCTGTGATGGACTGGCAACCTGTCCAGGGTGTTTTCTGCCTTCCACCCAATGACCACTGGGATAGACTCCAGCACCCCCCCCCCACGTGTCAAAGGATAAGTGGCTTAAATAATGTGTGTGTGTGTGTTTCTACAGTCATTGTCCATTTTATTAATCTGTCTGTTTTTCTGCATACTTTTAGCATAGTTGCCGCACAGTTTGTTTCGGTCATCCTCTAATCCTTTATCAGAGGTCAAAGGAAGCTGCCCACAGGACGCTGTTGGCTGGGTGTTTTTGGTTGGTGGACTATTCTCAGTCCAGCAGAGACACTGAGGTGTTTAAAAACTCCAGCAGCACTGCTGTGTCTGATCCACTCAGACCAGCACAACACACACTAACACACCACTACCACATCAGTGTTACTGCAGTGCTGAGAATGACCCACCACGCAAATAATACCTGCTCTGTGGTGGTCCTGTGGGGTTTCTGACCATTGAAGAACAGGTAAGTGGAGCTGTTAAAATGGATAATGAGTGTAGATACAAGGAGGTGTACTTAAGAAAGTGTCTGGTTAGTGAATAAAACTGTGGCAGTGAAGTTTGGAACATCACAAATTTACTCCTTCTAATGACCAGGGCTTGATCTACTGAAGAATATGAAACCTCCCAGGTTCATCAAGACACACCTGCCCATCCAGCTAGTGCCCAAAGGATTCTGGGAAAATAAATGCAAGGTCAGTACGAATATTAATCAGGCCTTCTCAATATAAAGTACCTCACTTCTTTGAAAAGCTCTGTAACTGCCACTAGTTATTTCACATCAGTGAGTTCTGAAAGTGAGTTCTAGTTCTGAAAGTGTGCAGAACAAGCAGGGTGGTGTGGCACTGCCAGAGGAGGGGCTGACGCACATTGACCCAGCGAGACTCAGAGAAACACACACGAACACCAGCCCGGGTTAACCCACAGTTTATTTACATGTATTATCAGTGAAATAAACCAAAACTTAACCACGGCTTGCTTAGCCTTTTTTTTATAAAGTCTTTCTCACTTTGTCTCTGTCTCTCTGGCATGTGGCTTACATTCCACCGTCCTCCTCTCTCTCGTCACACTGGCAAGAGAGACAGTTTTTAAAGAGTCTATGCTTTGGGGCACTCTTCGGAGCAGCAGGTAGTACCCAGGTTTCAACTGGTAGCAGCCAAGAGGGCTAAGGGAAGTCCTTGTCCTCTGCCTCGGGCACGTGCACACCAGGCCCACCTCCCCCACCCTGTGAACCTGGCTTGCAACCAGGAGAGAAAAGACCAGGCTCTGGAACAGGTGCGGGCAACAGACGAGGCCCTGTAGTGCCTAACATTTGGGCACCACTTGCACCAGCTCCAGTGTTGGCCACTGCAGTCGTTCTTCCCAGACTGGACTGATTGGTCCACCCCCACTGTTCAATCTCATGGGGCAGTAGGGTCACAGTGGCATACACAGCCCAAAGGAGGTTCAGAGGGTCCAGGAAGCTGGAGGTAGGCCGCTGGCTGTAGTTCTATCTCTTGTTCCATTTTCTTGGCATTTTTTCACAAGGACTTCTCTAAACTCCACTTAAACTGAGTGGCACTCATGTCGGAGCTGCAGCGAATCTCTGAGTCACAGGTCTCACCCAGAAAGGGGCAGTCCCTTCTTTCTCCACTAATGTGGCATGGCCAGGGGAGGAGCCGATGTTCTAGAGGACCATTTGACAACTTGTCTGCAAACAAACTCATTACCTTTTTGGATGTGACCAATGACCGTACTGCAAACTTCAGGATTTTGACAGTGGAGGTGCAGTCATTTGTATGTAGAGCAGTGGAGAGAGTGCACATCCTTGGGTGGCACCAGTACAATATAGGTCTCAAACAATAACTCATGATGTTTGAGAACCTGATATGAATTTGCCTAGCCTCACTTGCTATTTCCTGACTGTGAGGAAGCTAGAAGCTGGCAGTATCCATAGTTTTTAAAGGGTGGCTCGGAGTGGCCAGGGTTCACGCAAAATGTGATTGGATACCCCAAATGCTATTGGCTGCCACCTCGCTGTGAGGCAGTTGTTTGTGCCTTTTGATTATGTTATTGAATGTTGAGCTGAGGTCTCAGAACAAGATTCTTGCATGGGTGAGTTGCATTGGTTTGTTGAGGTGTTGAAGAATATGGTAAAGTCTCATATTCACTGCATCATCCACAGATCTGTTGGCCCGATATGCAAACTACAAGAGGTCCAACAGAGGGTTTTGTCATGCAGACATCAGTCTCTCAAAGGATGTCAGGCCTACAGAGGTCAGGGCGATGGATCTATAATCATTCAGCCATGTGTTGGTTGTTTTTTTGGGATGGATATGATTGTTATTGAGCATAGAAAGCAGAATCTGATCAGTTCAAGAGTTGCATGAAGACATGTAAGTTGGTCAGCACAGTCCTTCAGACAGAACAGTGAAATGCATATGGTTTAACTTACTGGAGTTGCTCATTTTGGCTGCTTTGATCTTTCTGGTTAGAATGTGTCAGCAAGTTCAATCACTCTTAATTGTTGGACGTTTCCAGCACAATTTTGCCTTCCTAAACTACCCCTTGGTTTCTCAGGTCATTTATGTGGCTCGGAACGCTAAGGACAACCTGGTCAGCTACTACCACTTTGACCGTATGAATCAGGCTCAGCCACAACCAGGTCCCTGGGAAGAATACATCCAAAAGTTCATGAGGGGAAAAGGTAAGACTGAAAAAACCTTTCAATAATCTGGTACAATGTTCTTCTTACTTTATACCTTATTAGCTGTTGTAGCACTGGTTAATAATAACTGTACCCCATATGACAGTTTCTTCTAACCTGTCCACAGTGGCGTGGGGCTCTTGGTATGACCATGTGAAAGGTTACTGGAAGGAAAGAGAGAAGAGGAATATCCTTTACCTTTTCTTTGAGGACCTGAAAAAGGTACAGTGCAGGTGCAACATTAGATCAGGGATGTCAAACAGGGTTCCTTCCGACTCACAGCTCTGCACTCTTTAGCGTTCTGCCTTCTTAAACACATCTTATTCAATCATCAGCTCATTACCAAGGCTTCATGAGTTGAACTTAGAATGTTAGAAGAGGAAAATGTTAATCTTTGTAGACCCATGGCCCTGAAGGAACTCTGTCTGACACCCCTGCTTGAGAGGCTTCTTAATCATTAATGTCACATAGTAGCTCTGACAACTGGGCTCTATTTGAGCTCCAACTTATAATTCATGTTTTTTTCCAACTCGAGGACCCTCGTCGGGAGGTAGAGCGGATCATGCGCTACATGGACTTGTCAGTAACTGATGATGTCATTGACAAGATTGTGCAGCTGACATCCTTCAAAATCATGAGGGACAATCCGATGGCCAACTACACGTTCATCCCAAAGATAATGTTTGACCACTCCATCTCTCCGTTCATGAGAAAAGGTCTGTATGACTGTATTATTTCTCTTTTGCTTGTTCTCAAAGTTTTTGAGCCACAACTCCCCCCAAACATTTAGGCTGGCAGTTGTGATCCCCTCCCTCTCAACTCCGAAATGCACGACAGCAACATTCTTTATATTTCTCAACACAGGACATTTTTGATGTAAGATTAGTTCTGCAGTCCATTTATGTTGTAATCACATGCCTTATTGCTACATATACACCTACTCTTACTACATTCCAGGCCAGGAGTTACACTATTAGAAATAAAGGTTCTGTTCAGGTACATTTTTCGTTCATAAAGGTTCAAACAGTGTAAATGTTCCCTCAAAGGTATAACAGTGGTTTTAAGGTCTGATTGTGAACCTTAAATAAGTTTTTCCAGGTGAAAAGTTCGTATTTGTATCTTTTCATAACCGAATGTTTTAAAACAGAACAGTAAAATAAAAGCCTGGAGACGAGACGGGGTGTGTGGAGTCAGTACAGCTTAGAACATATCATTTCAGTGGATTATGGTTCAGTTATGTTCCCTGACTGAAGGTACTGAGATGGACCCCTGAGTGTCCCACCCCAGTGACAAGAGGGGTACTGTGACAGTTTCATACCTTTATTTCTGAGAGTGTAGCAGCATTATTGATAGTAGACCTATCAATTTTGGCCTTGAATTGTAAAATTTAGAGGAACATTCAACAGCAATTTGTGATTTTTTTCCCATACAATTCTAGCACCGTCACTCACATAGCCACTTCATGATGATAATATGGTACCATTGGTGTGAGAGTTTAAATGACCTAAGTCATTCTCAGAAATATAGGTCTGTGTACCGTACCTTTTTTCCCCAACAATAATCCTGCGACCCCAACCTTCTGAGGGTAGTGACTTCCAGGTTGAGAACCACTATTCTAGGCTATGTCTCTAGCAGATAACTTGAGAATTATAGGGAAGTTAAGCAACTTCTGCTCAATGTCTTCTTGATATCTGTGTCCCAGGGGAGGTTGGAGACTGGACCAACCATTTCAGTCCAGCTCAATCCCAAATGTTTGATGAGGACTACATCAGACAAATGGCAGACGTGGACATTCCCTTTCGCACCAGCATATAAGGATTTACTCCATCAAGAACCTGTCAAAGCAGCACCTCAGCAAGCACTGGAGCATCTCTAGAACTGTGATCCTAGTGAGCACGGACACACTGAGGATACACACAAGCTGTCTCTGTATCACAATCTGTTTTCAGATGAGGACATTCCTTTTTGCACCAGGATATAAGGATTTACTCCATCAAGAACCTGTCAAAACCTTGGCAAGCACTGGAGCATCTCTGAATCCGAGACTCCAGTAAGCATGGACACACCAAGAAGGATTAAGAGGTTTCTTAGTCATTAATGTTACACAGCAGCTCTGTTAACTGGGTTCAATTATGCCTGTTTCACACCAGATGCGACAAGGTGCGCGTGTTAATCCGGAACCACTCCGTGCCGCTTATTACACACTCCGTGCCGTTATTACACACTGGACGCAACACACAAGCGTTGCGAAGCAAGTGCGTTTTCACATAATAGAAACATCTGTATTGTCCGTTTATTACTTTATGTTTATTAAACTTTATGTAGATAACAAAGAGATAAACAATAAAATCTTGAGTAGCTGCCATGACAGCTGGCTTTCTCACCAGGTAATGTAGCTCTGTATGCAGAGGAGGAGACACCTGTGAGTTTGCAACATTAACCTACTCAAAGGATTTCAGACAACCTGTCAAAGAGTTAAAACTAGATTTGTTGATTTGTTTATTAGCATAGATTGTATGTTACAGCATGGATATTGCATTTATTACTGTTTCTGCCTAAAACCGGCTGGCACGCATCAGAAATAGACCCAAACCGTATTTTGCCACATGTGGCCGGTGTGAAAGGCTACACTGATAAATATACTAACACGGTTACCGCATCTGACGTGAAATGGGCTTTAGACCAAAAAAAATAAAATAAAAAAAATAACAAATCAGGCAATATGGCTGCGCAAAGAAACCCACTAATGTGAGTTTTTTCTCCTTTAAAAAAACATTTTATTATCTCAGTTTAATGTCGTTTTAATGTATTACTGTCCTTTTCTTCATAACAAGCACAAAAAATCACTAATTGTATGCTAATGCCTCGGTAGCTAACTAGCTAAATTTCAAATGTGAACAAGAAGCTAGCAAATATCTGACTTCAGCTTCATATTACTGATGAATTAAGGGTGGGCAATAATTGATAACTGTCATGTCCCCCCCTCTTTGAAGGCATATGACTCCCTAAATGTAACTAATGTTAATGAAGTTTTATTTATTTATTTTTTTTGATGGTTGTCCCATTTCATAGGGAAGATTTTAACCACTACTGCTTGCAACTTAGTTCCAAGGGCAAGATGACGCTCGAAAACAAGAGATTTGACCTATTTGCTGTTTATCAATACTAGATTTTGAAATGAAAATCAAATGAACAGAAGGTCATGGGGTTCATATAGTTTGAAATATGTTTTCCTTTAACTTGATCTTGTTAATTCTGTGGGTTTTTTTGTGGGTGAACACGCCTTTCCTGGTTTCTGTATTTATTTTATCAGTTATTGTCTATGGTTATTATTGTCTCCCCCTGCAGAGGAGAAGGACTGGTATGTGCTGGGTTGGGTAGATCAGTGGAAGTCTATAGCTGAGTCCCAGTGCAGAAGCTGCGTCCGCTAATGTTTCGTTTTGTTTTAGGGAGCAAAGAGCAGACAGAGAGAAGCATCTCCAGCTCTAATAAATGATCAACAAAATAAAATCAAAGTTTCTCCATCTTTAAAGAACTTTGAAAGAACTGGACAGGAGCGGCGTTTCGTGACGCACTGGTAAGGATGGGAACAGCGGTGCTGTGAAAAAAATCCGCCGTACAGCAGACCTCATTTAAGTTTAGGTCTACACAGCCTTCGAAGGACACGCCTTCATAGAGTGCGTCCTTCGAAGGATGCAGCCCCTGAATTGGGACACAGCTTATTTAAACCCAGTGGAAGTCTATTTAAGAGCTCACCCCATTCCTGTGGGAAAGGGAAGAGGGTTGGTTGATTTCAGCCAATGTATTTTGAGGGAAAACGTTGCTTCCTCACATTTCATTGGTATATTCTGTGAATAGAAATTTATAAAAATAAACTTGTAATTTTTTTTTGTTTTTCATCTTTTTTTCCCTGTTTTTCAACATTTTTACACCTTTCACCAAATAAACACCCTTGCAATGAATGTGCTGTTGTGTTTAACCATTGCTCTTTATTATAACGCACAACCATGTCGGAGCATATCGCTGTTGTTGGAAGAAACCTTGCATCTCCAAAATGGTAACTTTACAGGAGGAGGAAAAAACCTACTTTACTGTTAATGTAAGTCATTGGAACCAGACATTTTTCCAAGTAATTTTGGGCCGTTTCTTTTGGTCCATTCATCATGAAATTTACACACAATGTAAAGAACAACAGGCATTTTCAGATTATGTCAAAAACTAAAAAAACAATAAAAATGGAGATACGAGGTTTTCTTCTGACAACAGCGATATCTACCCTCACCCGCAAGCAAGGCATGACCTGTTATTTAAATGAAAGCCCTCCTTAAAAAAAAGCAATAACTTATCAATTTAATTGCTCATTCTGACATTGATGCCTGCATAATGTTCCAAAAAAGATGGGACAAATTTTTAGCCTGGGAAAATGTACTAATGCTAATGTTCATACTAATGTACATTATTAATATGCATGTACAACAGCTTTAATACTAACGGAAGACAGAGCAGACGGAAGAAAAGACGAGGGAGGAGAGTGTACAAGTTTAACAAAAAATGTAACTTTTAATACATTTATTATCAACTTTAAGAATAAAATTACTCATCATTCAAGCACTAATTTGGAACCATTTACCTATATATTAATTTAATCTTTCCATACAGAGTTTTTTTTTATTTATTTTTTTTATTCTTTCAGTCAGTTTTATAGATTTTTTCGTGATTTTCCTGTGTGTTACGTCCTCTCTCTCTCCACTCCGATGGACTCCGTGGAGCTCCTCTCGGACTCAAAGTGATCCCTTGCCTCCTCCTCCTCTTCTTTTTCTCATTGTCTCCTTCTCTTGCTCCTCTTCACTCCTTTGTGTCTAGATTTCTTTACCTGGATGGAAAGAACACACGGGGGTTCACATTCGGTTCATGCCAGCTGTTTCATCTGTAATGTTAGCAGACTGCACAACTTGAGACGAGCAACAGTTTTGTGAGCACAGCTTTATCTACTAGCCACCCTTAGGACTCACCTGCAGTTGGACACGGACGAAACCATCAGTGAATCCATTTTTTCGGCATGCAACTCACCACCATGACAAACTTTTGTACCGCAACAAGTAAACGCAAGACATAGACAATGATTTGCTCTTTCAGATGATTGCAAGGATTTTCCAAACGACAAAATATGCCAGCTGATATAAACAAGCTACGACGTGAAGCATGCAGCACCAGCGCGGTCACAAATACTCCGAATTCAGCAGGGGTGGAAAATATTCGAGTAATTGTAAATATACTCATGTATTATTTTGAAAGATTTGTACTTTACTTGAGTATTATTGTGACTGATTACTTGTACTTTTACTCAATTATTATTATTTCCATTCTTTTAACATTGTTTTTATTACTCATTTTCATTTAGACCTTTAAAGTACTTGTTACAAATCTCAAAGGCCTGGAGATTTTTTATTTTTGTAATGTTTGCCAATCAGTTGATTTCCTCTCAACCTATTAGTATGTATTGTTTTATATTAAAAAATCCAGTCAGTGCATCACATCTCACCAAAACGAAGAAAACCTTCAATTTATTTGTTAAAACATACTTTTTACTTATATATACCTGAGTATGTTTAAACATTGATCACTTTTGACTTTCACTCAAGTAAATTTTTAGCTACTTCCACTTGCAACTTGCCAAACAAATGATTGAGATTCAGCCAATCACAAACCTCTACGCACTTCTTCCTCCAACAAACCAAGGAAAAACTCACAAACCTGCTGTGAGAATGTCTGTGGCACTAAATTACTCAGAATTATAAGGCTAAGAGATGGTGGAAAGTTGTAACTAGGGAGCGTATAACCCTTGACTCACGCAATCCTCATCTGCTGTTTTCATTTCATTCCTGAAGCTGGAAAAGTTTTGGATTAAACTCTGTGGAAGACCAAACTCACAGCTCAATGTCAAAAATATTCACAGACAGATTTACCCTAAATTTTATGAGATACTGTATTTGCTAACAGTCATTTTACTCTGACATCTACTGATGAACAATGTTACAGAGCAGTTAGCTAATACCAGTTAGCCAACTTAGCTGCTGACAGTTAGTTCAACATATCGGTCAGATTGTACTGTTTGGTGCTCACATTTGTGATTAAAACATATACTATTCTAACAGTTTCATTAAAGTTTGCTAAAAGGTCTCATGTTGCACCATTTCCAGTGTTAGTATTACCTCATGTGAAGGGGCAGCTTTCTTAGCTCAAACCTCCTCCATTTCTCTGGTTTGCTTAATGTAAACATTCACTTTAAATTGGCCTACAATCATATTTTGTCAGTTTTCTTTAAACATGTGAAGTTAGTTTATTTTTAAATCATAAAATGTTTTAAATGTACTCGTTTGTTTTCTTTGTGCTACTGAACTTTTTTCTGTTCTCTGTCAGGTGATTTCAGCTTAAAGTCTGACAGACATTGAGCAAGATTTTGACAGTGTTCATACTTCACTGCAAAAATCTTATCTTGGGAAGAGAAATCCTCTTAAATTTAGTCAATATAGCTAATATTTCCCATTATGAAGCTGTTGTTAGGGTATTCAACTGTTTGTATATTTTACTAGATGTATTTTACTTGTTTTATGCTATTTTATCTAGACAAATTATATTCTGTTGGTAGATAAACTGCATTATTTCTTGAAGTGATCTGCCAATTGAATAAGAATCTAGAAATAAGTTGAATAACCTTATAATATTCTTACAACTCTATCATAATGAGAAATATCTGATATATTGACTATCATTTTTTGCAGTGCCCAGTTTTTCTGCACATTTTCCACCCCTGGACATCAGTGAAAGTGACCTGCATTCATATAAAATCTCCTCTACAGCCATGCATTGGCTACATTTGTGTAGGCACAGTGCTCACAGATGCCCCCTATAGGGAAAGAGGTAAACTGCAGCGAACACCAGACAAACGAGAGGTTCTCCCAGTGCTTGCACTGCGGACTCGTTTCCGCTCATCCGACCACGACATTCGCTCCCACACATACACATGTACTAATGTACAAACAGAGCACAGAGGCTGCGGAAGGATGTTTGTCGTGTACCTGCTTTTGTTACTTGGTAACTGAGGGAGGGAACTTTCTTAGGCTGGAAATGAATAGAAGAAGTTAGTGAAGAAGGGATGAAATGTGTCAGAGAGTTAAACATGGAGAGACAGAGTGAGGGTGGGGTATATGTAGTGATGAGAAGATTGGTGGTGGGTTTTACAGACATTTAAAACACTGCATGTGAACTGTTAAGTATTAGATAATTAAGTGTTGGTTACATATAAAAGTATTAAATGAACTCCACTGGTTGGTACTGATTTGAAAGTGAATATGAACAGTATTAGATATTAGTTACATATGAAAGTATTCAATGAATAAACAATTCTAGTAGTTATTAATCCATTAATAAAGTAATAGCAACTTCCTGAAAAAACACATCAGGTGGTCTTACCCTCCAGGTAATTGCGGGCGACGAACTTCAGCACCTCATCCAGGAGGATGACGGGGATGGAGAGTTTGAGCACCACCAGCCACTGCTCCACGTTCAAGTGAGTCAGCTTGAAGACCATCTGGAGGATGAGAGAGAAGTGCTGTAGTGTAGGCTAATGCTAAATATTTTCAAGCTTAGAAGTCGCCGTTGCATGGAGTAATTTTACATTTTGTCTCACCCCAAAAAATAAAAAATAAAATAAACGTGAGACATTCTGTCGGAAGTGAAAAAAGATTGTAATAAAAATTTAATAAATAATAAAATTAGTAATAAAAATTCATTTAAATTTTTTTTCCATTTTTGCCATGTTTTTGTCATTTATGGACTTGACCAGAACGTAAACCAGAGGTAAATGTAATTCGTTACATACAGTCGGATGCAAACGTTTGAACACTCCTGGTCAAATGTTACATGTTTTGTTGATTTTCTAAGTGAAAATAAGTTAACACAT